TGTTGGAGCATCGATGTGAAACTCGAGTCCACACCTAGCAGGCATCTGAGGTAGCAGCGCTGGTTTACAATTTTAGCGGCAGGAGAAAGAAAAATCTGTGTTGCTCGGATGCCTCCATACATAAAAAAAAAAAAAACAACCCGGAAAAGACAGGCTGGGAGCTGAGGAGTTTACACGTGGCTTGATAATCTGGTGACAGGATATGATTTAATTAAATGCTCTGATGTTAATACCAAATCTGGATTAGAATAATTCACCCGATGTCAAGTTGATTTTCATGCAAATCCAAAAACATTATACGGCAGCTTGTAGACTGTATGTCCTCGCCTCGGGGGGAGTGTCACGCCTTCCTATGTGTCTTTTTATGCATGTCACAGATATGTGGATTAGTAAGTGAAAACAACATGCTCTTGTGGCACATTTCTATTGTCGAGCACTGAAGTGAGGTGTTTGTTGTTCCTGTGCAGCTATTAAAAGCATTCCTCCCTCTTCAGGCTCCACCTGCTCGTTAGCTGTGATTCTCAGAGCAGCGCTGGAGGCAGTTTGTTTGCTAATTGTTTTCGTTCGTCTTGGGTGTTACCGTGTTTTCAGGGCTGAACTTGAGGTCAGCGGCAGGATGATGGTGATTGCATAAGAGGCTGTGCAGTGAATTATATGACTTGTGTTTTTTTTTTTTTGCAGCCTGCAATTACGCCAGTGTTTTTGCTGGAGCAGGGAACTTTCCTGTCTCTTTTCCTCTCTGTAATCAAACAGCTTGATAGTTTAAACCAAGCGGGACCTGGAAAAATGTTGAGGTTTATATGATTGGAGGGCTGTTATATTTTATCAGGCAGCCTGTCCTGTTCTGTAGTCGCCAGCATATTAAACTTTTCTCTCAGATCGCAGTTTAAAAAAAATAGTTTTAATGGGTTTTTTTTGTTCACACATTTTTAAGTTAATTTGATATTTTATTCATACTGGCAGCTAAGGGCTGAAGTATTAATCAAAATATTATCAAATCGCAGTATGAACGAGTGCAATGTCCAAATCCCAGCAACTGCAATTCATGTGATAAAGGTAAAATAAAGGTAAAAACAAAATACCACTGCAAATGAAGGCTTCTGGCACTACAGGGCCCCAGCCTGCAAATTATAGTCTCCAAACAGAAGTGAACATGCTTGTTTGGTGCAGACCGGCCCAAAGATCACATCATCATTTTCGTATTTTTCTCAGCAGCTGCCGGCACAAAATAAATCTTAATGACCTCTTAAATTTTTATGTGGTGCTTCAGTTTTTTAACATTTATAACACACCAATCAAAACTGGAGTTTTACATCACAGATTTATAAAAGGTTTAGCTAATAAGTTCAGTGTTTGATGCTTTGTTGTGTTGCATGCTGACATTATCATATTAGCCCGTGCGTTTGATAACAAATGCTAATTTGCGGCCTTGGCAGTGATTCAGTTGTAAATTTGAGCAAAAATCATATTGCACTAATTATCATGTTGTTTTAAATTTCTGTTTTTTAGAAATTAAAAAAGCATTGCAGCACAGCAACATTGTAATGTTAGCATGTGTGTTAGCTAACAATGGCTGGTTTGGTATATTAGCATGAGCTAACAGGCTAAATGTTTGATGCTTTGTGTTTGACATGCTAATGTTCAGCCTTGGCAGTGATTTAGTTGTAAATTTGAACGAATTCCTCATCATCGTAGTTTTAGAATCTTATGTTATCAGTTAAGATTTTTTTGTTTTCAAAATAAAAAACAGTATAGCTAACTTTCGCTAGTTTGGAACATTAGCTGAATGCTAATTTTGCAACTTTAGCTTATAATGTTTAGCTAATGCTCTACTTAAATTGAGTAAGAAATATTAACAAAATCATCTAGCAATATAACATTATTGTGTTATTCCATATTAAATAAGTAAATAAAAGCATTACAGCTGGGTCTGATGTACAGCTCATGCTTTAAAAAACATTTTGATTAATTGAAGTGAATTTTGAATACATTGACAATATTATAGCATATTGATATCATGATAATGAGCTCACCCAACCCTACTATACTGCTGAACATTTCATAATAGCATGCTAGCATGCCAATTGCATTAGCATGACGTTTACATTAGCATGCTTTATTGCCCAAATGATGTTCATCCTGATAATAAAACAGAGGAGAATACATGGAAAACGTTTAATATTTGTTTTAGAATTAATCTAAAAATATTGTTACTACACAATATTAATTTGCTGTACTAATTATTAGAATTCTAGTTTGGTTTCATAGACGCTACAACACAAGTTGACCTCTGAATCCAAGGAACATACGAGCTACAGCCTTTATTAAACGACTACTTGCGCCGTAGCGTTGAATTTTCTGCCTCGCAGTGTTTCTGCGTCGTCATTGTGGGGGGAAATAAAAAGCTGTCTGGTTTCTAAGATAGCTCAAGTGCGGGGTTCCTTTCCTCAGATCATATATGCATAAGTGTGTTTGCTGTAGTCTTTGTTTTCTTTCATGTCGGGAGCTTTCATGTCTCCGCTTTGATGTTTAAACGGCCGTTGTTGTAACGTTCTTTGCGTTTTTCAGAGCGTGACATTTTAGGTTTTCCAGTTGACTCAACACAACGCGACACTGAAGCTGCTGATGAAGAAGCATCTGAGTTAGCCTTCTCAGCATCCTGTTTTTATTTATATTTGCCTGAGTTTCACAACCACATATTGTAATTACATGTAATTTCGCTTAATTTAGTTAAATACACTTATTTAACCTTTTAATTTGAATTTTCAGGAATGATTTGTGCGCAAATTCTCACATTACTTAGTGACACTGGCTGTGGTGTAGTTGTCTGGTTTTGGCTACGATTGGAGCCAGCTCATCCTGACATGTGCAGTCTGGATATTTATATTAGCCTCGTGTGGAACAATAGAAAACTCAGTCAGGAAATGGGTGAACTACTGATATGAAATTTGGGCAGGTGTTCTTCACACAATGCTCACATGTGAAGCAGGCGATGTGGTTGAGGTGTGAGGTGAAAGTAGCCCAGCAGCCCAACAGCTCAGGAAGTGAAAAATCTAAAATGACATATTGGTTTCAAGCCTATTTTTCTGTCTTCCTCGCTACGCTGACGACTTCCCGTTGGCAGCAGACACACATGTTAACCGGGGGAATTTTTCTCAGTCATATCTTTTTTTTTGTGTGTATTTTTTTTAGACCAACCAGATGAGAGTTTCCCATGAGTCACGGTGGGGCCAACCTGTGCACAGCGTTTCTAAGAACTTGCCCGTCGGTTAGGGCAGATTTCTTTCCTGTCATATGCATGTAGGGCACTTGCTGTTAAATCAGCATTGTTTCACGTCATTGTTCTTGCTTACCGGAGTCTGGTGGTGGAAAAAAAAAAAAAACCAGGGCGTCCCCAAGGCATTGTGGGATGTCTGGCCACACACAGCTGTGAGGTGTTAGTAGGACACTCCAACACACTCTCACCCTGTGTGAGGACAGATTAGCCCCATTCATGACAACAATACAGTCATTCACATTACTGCAGGAGCACACTTGTTGCTGCGCTAATTGATGATTTATTACAAAATGTGTGCAATTTGAATTGCAAAAAAAAAAAAAAAAAAGTACATTTCTAATGCACGCAAGTTATTATTCAACCAATATTACATTTAAACAATTAATGTCACTCCATTGTGTTATAACAGAGCAGCAATGTGGGACTGTATGCGAATGTTTTCCTCCATTTATGATTCCCGTTTCTACTTAAAACTATATATATTGAAGCTTTGGTTCTGAGAATTTCACACAGGCGTGAATCAAAGTGCTTGTTTTTTGTCATAGCTGAGGGCAAAACTCTGCTTCGTAGTTGTTCTAATTGATCTAAAAGTGATCAGATTTGAAAAGTGCATTGATTTAAAAAAGAGCTTTATTTGTTTGAGCGTCAGTCTGAACCCACAGAGGCTCATCTGTAAAAAGAGAAAAGCTGCAGATTCTCATGTTGCCTCACAGAGCTCAGCCATAATTGAGAAAAGACAGTCAAAAGCGTGAATGGGAGTGCATTTAGGATGCTTTTTTATTGTAGTTGAGGGTAAAACGCTGTTGCTTAGTTGTTTAATTGATTTAAACGAGACAAGACTTGAGAAATGAATGCGTTGTGTTTTAGTAGCACTCGTGAGAGCTCAGCTATCGGATGTTTTTGAACAAAATACCAAAATTCCAACAGCTTTATGTGCTCCGGCCCCGAACGTCTGACTTTATATCAAAGAATGAGACGTTTTCTTCTGCACATGTTCATCTTTTGGTCGGATTCTTTGCTCCAGCTGTCTGTCACTAAACAAAGTCTATGAGAAAACGTTTCTGTGACATAAATAAGCCCTATTTAGATCTAAAAAGATGCAGAATACAGAAATAAATAGTGAATTGTACCTCTTAACTAACAGATTGTCATCCAAAGTCTGCATGGTTTACAGCAAACAGTCCTATTTTATTATTTTCTGTTAAATCCAAGTTGTTGTTTTTTTATACAGTTCATAAAGGGTATATAAGTTTTGTTTTTCTTCTAGTGGAACATTTCACATCATTTCTCTCATTCAGTGTGTAAAAGTTGGTCTGTGTTTTGTATTTTTTTGGGCGTTTAGAAAGCTTGGGTTCATCAGCATTTGTTCATTTTTATTCTAAATATGATCTTGTGGCTGCAGTTGGAGTAGAAATAACTTCGCGTCCAATGGTATTAAACTAATGTTTGTTCTACTGAGCACTCAAACTGTTGCTGTGTTTGATTAAGTTGATAATCACTGAGGCTGCGAAATGTCAGAAAAGTCAAATAAATGTCCATCACAGAGCCTGAAGTCGCAACTTAGAACCGCTTGATTTGATTCAGAACCCACAGATTTAAATTTACAATGATATCAAGCAGAGGAAAGCTGCACATTCTCTGAATTCTATGATTGAATAACCAACATGTTACGACTAAATGGTGCACAGTGTGTCTCATGCAAATGCTCTTGTGTCTCTTGCAGGTGGTACAGACTCAACTCTAAGACAGGGAAGAAGGAGAAGGAGCGGGGAGACATTCAAGTCACCGTCCAGTTCACCCGAAACAACCTGACCGCCAGCATGTACGACCTGGTCATGAAGGACAAAGGCGGCTCCACCTTCAGCAAGCTCAAGGAGCGCATGAGGGGGAAGAGGAGATCCAGCGAGGAGGACTCCTCGTCGGCCATCCTGCCCGGAGGCTACGGCTCTCTGTCCCGGTTGCGCCAAAGACTGCCCAGCGACGGAGGCGGGGAGGAGGATTACGAGGACGACGAGGGCGGCGAGGCCCGGCGGAGCAAGATGAGGACCTTCTTCCTGAGGGGCAAGTTGAGGAAATCGTCCGACACTCGCTCCAGCACTTCCTTAGGCTCGGAGAGCAGCGAGTCGTCGTCCCGGGGAGGGAGCCTCAGTCCCACAGCCGGCATCAGCGTGGTGGTCTCTGACCTCTCCAACTCCCCCAGCAACAGCAGCAACCTGACTGCAGATAACAGCCCAGGTGAGAACCGCTCACACACCTACAGTTCTCGGTTTCACAGCCGTCTGGTGTCGCTTCCTACGCAGCAGAAACACACAGCTTCAGGTTTCCCTCTTGTGGGACAAAACTGTAATCTCTTACAGCAGCAGATTACCGTCAAAAGCAGTTAATCTGTCAGTGTTTTCAGATGAATGAATTCATCTTTAGGCCAAATAATTTCAAATTGTTGTGAAATTATGTAAATTGCAAACTCATACAGTCGTCCTCACATTTATTCAGACCCTTTTATTAAAGAAAAGGCAAAATTCACAACAGTCACTCAAATAACTAGAAACTGAAAAAAGTAATAATAAATAAAAATTTGCCAAATTATAATCTAGTGGAATAAGACATTGCTTTTGAATTGTAGTTAGAAAGAATAATTAAAAAAAAACAAAACAAAAAAACTGTCCCGGACAAATTAGAGCACTTTGCTGATGAGCAAAATATAAACAAATGTTAGTTTATGGGTCCTATCATGGTTGGTTGCTTGTTTTTTATTTATTTATTATATTTCTGTTGAACCATAATTCAAAAGCAACGTCATGATTTTCATTAAATTTTTATTTATTATGACTTTTGTCAATTTCAACTCATTTCAGTGACAGCTGTTTTTTCCCTTCTTTCATGGGGGGTATAAATACATCTGAGGACGACTGTAGAGTTCAAGGTGATGCCTTAAAGTATTTTAAATCAGCTGATGCACTTTCAGACCTTCAGGTGTCTGTGTGCTCCACAGTTTCTCCTTCAATTGTTGTATCTTAACCCTCTGAACCTCAAATAGTTTCTACATGGTCACATTTTCATTCACTGTAGGCTCATTTTTACAGCAACATAAAGTCCTGCACCTCTATAGAAACAGATGAAGACACATTAATTCAATAAAAATAAAAAACTAAACAGTCCTAATGTCACAATGTTAAATTCAATACTGGTGCGAATTTTGTTCTCATATAAAATTAACATCATGTTGAGATATTGTCCACAGTTCTTGCATCTAAGCAAATAATTCTGGTAGTTTAATCGTAGCAGCTGGACTTGCTTGAAGACATTCCACCTCTCATCCAAGAGGCTTCATCAGTTCTGACTGACGAGTTGGGAACTAGTCGTGAAGCCAGTTGTTAGGATTAAACTACGAGGATAACCACGACCTGGATGACTGAGAATCTTCACAAACTAAACAAATGATGGTAATATTGCACCACAAATGGCACAGAGGGACATCGTGGAGACTTTTGAAGACTTTGTGAGAAAACTATATGAGTCTGTTTTTGTAAATTGTAAAAAAAAATCAAATGAAAAGCAAAACAAAAGTCCATAAATGCATCTGTGGCACCATTTGATTTTGAATATTCAGTTAATATGAAGACACATTGATGCAAACAAAATACTGCAGCAATTATTACACTTTTACTTTGTCCGTGGTATCTCTCTTGTCAGTAAAACTGTAGCAGATTTTCTTTGTTTGAAGGTAAAACCTGTTGAAAAGCGAGCCGATAACGTGCCCTGAAAGAGTCATTGAACTGTTGGTGAAAACGCTACACGTGGATGAGCCGTATCTTGACAGCCGTGCAGACTTTATGGAGGCGTTCGCCCCCCTGAGAGCCGTCCACGGTGTTAAATCACCTGACTGGAGAGCAGCATTAAAGCCAAGTCGCACTGTCAAGCACTGAGCAACAGTTCTCATTATTCTGGAAAAGATTGAGCAATCACAGAGAGCTAAATTACTCCATTTCCATTCGCTCTTACGGCCGTGTCTGCCGGAGACACCGATCAGTCCCTGTCGTGAAAAACATTGTCAGTCAAAGCCATTCGGAGGTTTTATCACCTGATTAAACTGCCTGCAAATTTAATTTAGTGAAGCCCCTGATTGCTTCTGTTTAGTTTTTTTCCCGCTCACTTCTCTCTGTTTTCCTCTTGATTTCTTTTTCATGTCCTCTTCTTGCTTCGTTTTTTCTTTTTCTTGCAGAGCACACAGCCAACACGTCGCCCAAGTCGTCGTCTCTCAAATGTGAGTTCGGTGATGAGGCCGGTGAGATCACCATCGCAGTGCCTCAGCCCACTGTTTGCGTTAACGGAAGCCATGAATACGACGTCCAGCCGCTGGACCCAGGCTCAGGAAAACCTGCGGGTTCTTTAGGCTTGGGACTGTTGCAGAAGTCTTTGCCTCTGTCCATGTCTCTGCAGAACCTCAGCCCGCGGCCCTCCACGGACCTCCCCATAGGCCTGGCGGGAGACGGGCGCCGCTGGTCTTTCGACAAACCCGGCGAGGAGGAGAAAGCTGCCATAGCGGCGGCGCTGGAGAAAAGCGGCCCGATGCTGGCCGAAGACGAAGACGAGCGTTCGGGAGAGGCGGCTTCCGCGGTGGAGCTGGAGATTCAGGGGAAAAAGCAGAGGAGGAACTTGCTCTCCCACGGGAGGAGTGAGTCTGCGGGGAAAGCTCAGTCCAAGGATGAGTCTGAACAGGCCCCCGCCGCCGCCGAGGAGAAACACAAGGGATGGTTCGGATCAAAGGACTCGCACAGCAAACTCAGGTGAGACGCACACCGTTGATCACGCGGGAGACTAATCACACGCCGACGGCTTCGTTTGAATACAATTTGAATGGGGAAGGTCAAACGTGTGCAGGAGCCTGCTGAGAGTTGGTATCGGCGCTGTTTAGATTCCCCGTATCATTAGTCACAGACTCGGGCGTCTAATTGCATCCGACCCGCACGCTTTTGTTTTGTTTTGGAACAAATAATGGCATGAAAGAATGTTTTTGAAGTGTAGGTTGGGGCCGCATGAGAGTTTATCTTTTATATTAAGACACATCAATGCAGACAAAGTACTACTACAGTATTATTACAATCTGACTGTATTTATATCCCTTCAGCACAAAAATGTCAGAAAATTATGCAGATTTTTTAGTTTTGAAAGTAAAATTGTTTTAGGAAAAAAATGCAAATGCAAAATTGGGCTTTTCTGAATATCAAAACAATGATTATTTAGGGAAGTGTATCTGCATTGACAAGAAAAAATGATGTTAAAGAAGCTGAAAAAGAGGATTGTAACTTTTCTCACACTGACAAAAACCTCCAAAACAGTCCTTTGCTTCAGATCTGGCTTTGTACGTGTCACACAGAGCTTTGTGCTGCAGATTTAAATAGTCAAACAAATCACCCATGTTGCCTCGTGTGGTGCAGGAAACACAGCCGACAGATCTGTTCTGTAGCTGCGATTTCCACACAGCTGATTTTTCTCCAGTTCTTGCTCATTTTGCTGCACATATGTGGAGCCGACACGTCAACAAACTCCATCTCTTGTACAAAAAAAATAAATAAATAAAGAAGTCAAGAAATAAGTGGATCTAAGAACCCGTAAATCAAAGTAAGTTATGTTCTCGTTTGTAAATTAGTGACGGAAAATGAGAATTTTGCAGTTTTCTTTTTGTATCAAGCAGCAAAAAGAAAAAAAAAAAAAAACTTGACTGCTATTTTTTCTTACTTTGCTTTGCACTTCCTGCAATGTGACTATTGCACATGCTCAGTTTGCATCTCTGGTACTGAAACAGTATGTTATGCAGCCCTAGTGTAGGTTTTGGTAGCAGAGTTTGAGCAGAATGCAATTGTGTCTTAAATTATTGACACTTTAGGATTTCACCTGTTGGAGAAAATGTCAGACTAACCCACTAAAAAAAAAAAAAGTTAAATCTCTTTTTGAGATAATGTAGTTGTATTAGAAATGTAAATAGGGCAGTTTGTTTTTTTTTAGAGTGAGCTACATGCTGTTCTTTTCTTTGCCTTATTTTTAAATAACAACCGTTCATCAGTTTGCCCTGTTCTTCTGTTCATATCTAAAGCAGGTTGCCAGATAAAGCCACTGAGCACAGGTTTTTGGCGCAGGCACGGAGGCGCTACCAAACCTGGCAACCTCCTAATTTCCCCTAAAACTAAAAATTGCCTTCTTACGTGTCTGTTTGTATACATATCAAACAAACAAGTTGGGTGGGTATATTTTTGAATTCAGGACAGAGCCAAGCTAACTGTTTCCACAAAGCTAATCACCTCCTGGCTTCAGATAATTAACAGACATGAGAGCACTGTTGAAGTTTTTAAGGGAGGATGAGCTTATTTCCAATAAAACTCGAACAATTCCTTTGGAGGATAGTGTTTACATTACATAATACCAGAATCCTTAGCCTACAGTGGGAGTAAACGCTTGGAACTTACCCATTTTACAAGAGGATTACATTTGTTTAGCTCCTGTGCAGCAGCATCACATCCAGAAGTTGCTTCCGGCTCTGTTCGCGTCCCTCCTGGTCTCAGTCTCTGGTTACAGCAGGTATCTGCAATGCAGATGGAGGAGGGGAGCCGCTCGTGTGAAATCAGCTCCGTCAAACCCGAAGCCTCGTGCGCGTCGTAACACGGTTCAGCAATAATGTCGATTTCATTGCACGGATAACGACGTGAGCTGAGGAAACACCACTGTTCTCTTCCAGGTTGTGTGTTTGCTTTGTGTGAGTATTTGTATTGTGTGTGTGTGTGTGTGTGTGTGTGTGTGTGTGGGCAGGAGAGAAGAAAGCTCCATCTAATTTTATTTCCACTTCTAACACAAGCACATGGTTAAGTGGGTAATTTATTTTTGAGGTGTCACCTGCTGCACTGTACTTCCTCCTGCACTGCTCCCTGTGGTGGTGAATTACTCCTCAGCCTGATGTATAATTAATCTTAGATTCAGGTCTCCAAAAAAAATCCCTTAAACAACAACTTTTAATTTTTAGTTTTTAGGCAATTTACTCAACCAAGATATGAAAAAGAAAGGAGTCAGGGTCATTATATTTTCATACTCGGAGTGTAAACAAAACGTTGGACTGATAAGCACCTGCTGATTGCAGCGAGGTCAGCTATTCTGGACCATAGTACACACAATGCCTTTGTGCCAGCTCGGTAACTATACGTTCTCGCGGCCTACACACACCCACATGCTTTTAGAAACGTGGGGGAAAAGTGCCAAGTTGGCGCCGGTAGCACAAAGTAATCACTACGCTCAGCTGCATCAACTTTTCTTGCAAAATATTATACGGTGGGCTATGAACACACAGACGTCGAAGTTTTAGAGGCACGGTGGTTTGGAAGACGTGAAAACATGCGTGTTGTGTTTTCCAGTAAATCCAGGGCCTCGTCCACACTCACATGAATAGTTTCTCAACAGTCAGGCCTCTCATCCACAATGAGATGCACATTTGTAAAAAGTACAGATTTTTAAAAACTCCAGGTTTTGTTAATCTGTGCGGACGTGTAAAATGGAGGGTTTGGATTTTGTGTACCAGTCATTTCATTTCCAGTCATTGCTCAGCCATCTCTGGTTTGTGTAATTTTTTTATTGCATTAAATATAGATATTGATAAAGATATTTGTAAAAATGTAACGTTATGTCTGAAATACTTTCCCAGATAAAACATGTTTAAGTAATTGCCCTTTGACCCACTTTCAGCACGTTTTTACTTACGCTGAAATTTGAGGCAGATTAAACAATAATATCTCAGGAACTCTTAAAGATGATAGCCTGAAATTTCTCCTGTTATTTCTCATCATGTCAATGATTCAGAATCTGAAATATTGGACATATAGATCAAATAGTCTCTGATTAAGGGTGAGTTGAAATATTTAAAAAAAAAACAGTTGAAGCCGTCATAGAAAGTCCCATCTTTGAGCACAAAATAACAAAAAGCTGATAATGCAGAAGTCAAATAGTGAATGTAGTTGCATGGCACAATAATACAAAGAAAAAAATATATAGAATACTTTCTCACATGCAATACTTGGTCACAAAAATGAAAAGAAAATAATTTTTATTTAGCTTTTATTACCAATTGAGCAGGTGTGACACAGAGGCAAAAATATTGCATGAAAGCCCGACCCGAATAGAGCAGAGTTCTGGAATTTAAGTGTGGTTGTCAGAAATTTCTCTTTTCTTTTTTTCTCTGCTCTTATATACGTTTGTGTCCACATGTGTTTTTCTTTTATGTGTGTGGGACACCGGATGGAAAGTAGCCTTGCGCTAAATCCGGCGTATTTACTGTAGCCTGAGATTGTATGTTCATTAATACGCACTGTCCCGTCTAAATAAACAAACAAATAAATACATAAATATAAAAAAGAAAAATGGAGAAAATCCTGTACCTGATATATCAGCCTTAAAAAAATACCGTTTTACTGCCTTTAAATCTGCAAAAACTATCATTATTTACAGATATTTGCAGTTATTTTTACAGGAACGTTAAGCCTCCTAACAGACTTTTTCTGGCACCCTTGCTGCCAGATTTGTATTTAAAATATTTTTTTTACAGTGTATAAGTGTCCAAAAATTCAGAGTCTGCAGCGTTAAGAGTGTTTCAGGACAATTAATCAACATTTAAGAGAGATGGTGAGCAACAAATGTGCCCAGGGTTGATAAAAATAGCATTTCAAGCATGTAAACGATGTGTAATAATGTAAAAACAGCAGTCCGTCAAAAGGTATGTTCAAGGTATGATCTGAGACAGAAAATGCTTCTACAGGCTTTAATTAATCTGTGTGGACAATCCTGACTAATCGTGAGGACTGTGTTCCTTCCTTTCACAGCCTGGTGGTCTCACCTAAACTAGAGCCCAGCACTGACCCTCACCCACCTCCTCTTCCTCCCACTCACCTCCCCTCGGGTCCCCCTGTAGAGGCTGCCTCCTCTCTGCACCACACTAACCCCTTCTGCCCCTCACAGCCCTCGCCGCCTCCCATCTCCCCCTGCAACCCTTTCTTCTCTCTCCTGCAGCACAACCCTTTCTACGAGGACATGCTAACCACTCCGCAGCTCAAACCTCCGCTGCCTCCTCTTCCCTTTCTTTCCAGCTCCCGGCCCCCCATAGCTCAGCTCTTTCCGAGGAACCCCGACCCGACCGCAGGCGACCCCGTCACTGCCGCAAACAGCCAAGCGATGGCTAAAGTCAGGGAAAGACCCCTTCCTCCAGCTCCCACGGAGGGCAAGAAACCTCTAGTCAAGAAGTCGTCCAACCCTTTTATGTCTGTGGAGGAGCTGGGACTGAATTCAGAGTGGGACGAATCCTTTGAAGCGTTTGCAGCTGGCAGGCTGCAGTCTCCCGAGGATCTCACCACAGAGTGCAAAACACAGCAAAACACAGCCAGTGACCATCCGCTGGAACGCTGCAATAATAAAGGAGCATTACTGCCCGTAATAAATCAAAACTCCAACGTGAACGACGCGCCGCACCACCAGGATTGGACGAGTGATTTATTCGAAGCGCATAAATTGACCAGCCAGGTGAAGAGCGCGCATCACCTTGACGCTTTCCCACAATTCCTCGAAACAATCCCAGAGCACAGAAGCATTGAAACTGCTTTAAATACTTCCACTAACTCTCTCGCTCGCACCGAAACTAAACAAGACGCCACTAATGATTTAGCCGACACTAACATGCATCAAAGCCCCTCGTCTGCTCAGATCAGCAGCAGCTCTCCGGATCCCACTTCCTCGGGTCTCGGCAGTTCAGCAGAAGACGACTTCCTCTCGTGTCTCTCCTCTCATTCTGACAAATTCTCCGCATCCTCTTCCTCGGAGGAAGCTGAAAGCAACATCCTGGGCTTTGAGAAATCCTGCGAGTCAGCTGTGGCGAAAAATGAAAGACCCGAAGACGACGCCGCTGACAGGTCGAATGATCTGACTTTAGTTGATAATGCTCAGAAGACTGTTGAGAAGGCAGATCTAAGCGGTTCTGAGGGGTCTTCGGCACCACGATCCTCAGAGATTTCACATCCGCCGCCTGAGGAGACAGAAACCGAAGCCGCAGAAACTCAGACGCTAAACACTTCTGATGTTTCGTACCCTGATCTTTTGCCGAAACTCTCCGAAACACGACCGAAATCCGATGAAAGTAGAGAAGATGTGGCTTTTGCTGAGGATTCCAGCCCCGATGTGGCAGATGATGAACTCTCCTCTACACCACCCCCGTTATACACCACAACCTCCTCCCCTGGCGCCAAGCAGCAGGATTCACCATTTTTTAGCGATTTCCTGAACATCAGCGACATCGCCAACGCTTCTAGCCAAGACATCACTCTGACGTCTGACCAGGGCTCCAGCAGCCTCCTCCAGAGCCTGTACGTCAGCACCGACTCGCAGGGTTACCAAACCTGCGAGTCTCGACCGGCCTCCAAAGAACCGAAAGAGACGCTTCACTCTGCGAGCTCGACGCTCTGCGGTGAGCCGATTAAAACTTCAGGCCTGGTAGATTCCACAAATGAATCACTTAACGGAGAAACCAACCGAACCGAGGAGGCGTCTCTTCAGCCGAGCTTCACGATAGGAGAAGACTTCGATCCAAAGAAGCTCAGCGAAGGCGGTGTGGAAAACAAACGTGACGTGTTAGGTGACCCTAAATGCCCTACGCTGCACCGCTCCCACTCTGAGGGCACACTAGCGCCCGTCTTTAACCAACTCCTCCTGCCCTCTTTCGGCAGCGACCCGGGTGCGATACCAAAGTCCTCCTCCTCCTCTCTGATCTCTGCTCCCTCTCTAACTCCTGAAAGCTCCCCTGTAGCGCTCTCTATCCTCCCTCCCTTTGCTTCTGCGAGGTCGCCGCCGCCGCCAACGCTGGCCGACGGGCCAATGCCACAGGAGGCCGAGCAGCAGCAGCAGCAGCAGCAGCAGCAGCAGCAGGCAGCCAATCAGCAGCACAGGTGAGGTTGCACGTGCTCGGTGAGGAAAAAGGAAGCACTTTTTTTCCCCCCCTGAGACATCTTCTGTCCTGTCGCCTCTTCGGTCTCCTCCTGCCGCTCATGCTTCCGCCTGCTTTTTGTTCTGTGGGGGTTTCTCCTCTGCGGTGTGACCCTCTCTTCCTTCAACACTTTGTGGAAACGATGCCGACTGGTGCTAACAGGACTCTTCTGCAGGTGTCTTGTGTGTGTCCTGGCTGTGGGAAACAAAGCCTCGGGCCAATTAGCAGCTATTATTCTGCCCCCGATCCCCTCCACACACACATCCTCCCACCCAGCAAACACACACACACACACACACACACACCTCCCCCTCTCTCACGCAACCGTTTGCCAAAATCTCAACCAGAAACCTGGTTTTTCCACGAGACAGAAAAGGTGTTGTTTTGTCGCCGAGGGCATTTCCTTTTCACCTCAGGGTAATGACACATTTTAAACATGTTTGATTGCACCAATGCATGCACTAGGGTCTCCTGGGGGGTTAAGATCATTTCAATTTCAATTTTCACCAGTGTTTCTTCTAATGAGGGTTCTTACACCTGCACAGCCTCCTTCGGTCGTGAAGTGAAGACATGTTTAATGTGTGGTGTCGTCCTGGAGGTCCACAGGACAGTTTCTTTATCTGAACCTGCAACCTACAGGAAAGATATGCGTGACTGCAGCGAGCCTTGTAAGATTTCCTCATAAATGTAGGCCACTGACACAGGAAATTCTCTTTCCTGTGTTATTGTCGAGCTTTTGTCTCAGGTCTGGCCGCAACAGAGCAGCTTTGTGGCTGTTTATTAGCTGACTGACTCGCATGAAAGGTCATTTGATCAAACAGTGAGACACTCATTCAGCAAGTCTGTGTGGAAAACAGGTTTTTTAAATGTTGCGCCTCTAATCAAAGCAAGATTTTCAGTATGGAAATTTCCTTTTTGACACGTGACCGCTGTAAAATACACTTTTGAGATCTCAGTGTGGACATTATGACTCCTTCAATTCCTGTTTCATTTGAAGCACAGTTAAACCTGAAGGGAAGGAAAACTCTATTTCGCCAGAAAAATGCGATTTTGAAGAATTTTAGGCTAATTTTGTAAACTTAAAATTTAAAAAAAAAGGAAATTATTGTAACAAATTTTTTTTTATTTATTTTTTTTTTGCCATCCTCTGTTGCAGTAACATTTTCTCTGTATTTCTTATCCTTTTTAATCACGCTAAAACTCATCAGATTCGTCTAGTGATCCCCGAAGGCAATAAAAATGCTTGTTGTTTGGTGGTTAACTGTAGGTGATGCATTTTGTAAGTAAAATGTAAATGCTAATAATCTCTGATATTCAGTAACTTTAAAACTAAACTTTCTAGTTTACTGCAAAACTTACACTAAGACACTGGTGACTACAGCTGCCAGTATTTAACTGTACTTTAATGGTGTTACTGTTGTAACTTACTGAACAGTTAATAACTAGTTGATCACAGTAATCTGCAGTAAAATGAGGTTTATTGTTTAATATTGCAACTAGACTTTCATATAGTATACCATATTTACCATACTTTTCTTCTTGAATTGCAGACAAACACAATAAGTAACTCTGTGTTTTTACTCTTTATGATTTAACATTTAAAAATGCAGTGAAACAAGGACAAAAGACGAGGCAAGTTGCATTATAATGGATTGGGAACATTTATTTAAAAGCAGCAATGTGGAACAAATTAAGATTATAAATATATTTTAGTAATCAAGGAAAATGTTTTAACTTCATGTAAAAACAGGAAACAATCTCAGGGCGTCAGTGTGAAGTTAGCAATTATATTCTTAGAGGTCTAAATAAACTCTAAATAGGTTTTGAACATTTTTGTCAGTTCAAACGTCTGTTTAACAGCAGCTTGCTATTAAAGATGGTTCTTGTTTTTGACTCAAAATAAAAAGCATCACATTTTACAGTTTTTAGCTGTATTTTGAATAAAAGATAGAACAATACCTGTTAGAACTTTTTAGCAATCATTTATTACAGCGTATTTAAACAGATTAATCTTAACCTTGGACACAGAAGTCTGTGACAAAATGTTTAGAGTTCATGCTTATGTCACCAGCGTTTTCAGGAGCTTTCGACCATATCTCACAGCTTTTCTTGCTCCGTTTTGATCTCCTGACTAAAATATAAATATTATATATAAGCAGTGACTTCCAGTGTGACCTGAACAGGCTCTGTTTGCTCAAGAAGGTAATGAAATGTGGTAACAAATCCATAAAAATCTCTGAAAGTGAGTCTTGATTTAGTTTAAAAAAAATAAATCATTTATTTTTTATTGGGTTTAATTTTAGGAACAGAAACATATTAGGACAATACCACTTGGCAAAGGGAGGACCATCTCACAACAAAATTATGCACAAATCTATAAGTTCACCTACATACATATATATATATAAATAAACAACAATAATAAGTATTAGTACAAATTTAGATGGTTTTAAAAATGGGCTAATAGCAGCTTTGCTCTTATATATCAATTCTTGATCAGATCTAAAAAATATACTTTTAAACATTGCTAGTGTTTTGAGTTTTTTTTTAAATCAGATATTAAAACATACATATTCCACATTAACTACAAAAAATCTTGAGTTTTACCTCTAGCTACGCTCACATCCCTCGTTTTTTCTATTTTAAATAAGGACAGAGGAAGCAAAAGTCTAAATCAAGTTAATTGAATTCCTCTCCATCAGTTTCACTTTATCTGAAATGCAGACAGGATTGACCAAAATGTACTTTACTGAAATGTAATTGGCTTTTGTTTTTAGCCTGAAATGTCAAAAAACTCAGGGACCTCCAGCATGACATGACAGATTTTATATCACTGAGAGTCCTCTGTGTGAAGCCAGACAGCTGGACAGGTGTTGTGTGAAGTGTAACACCTGACAGTGTGTGCTGTGTGTACCTGTGGTTGTCGTCCCGTGCAGCCCCCACCCAGTGAAGCCCCTGACCACTGCCATGCAGACGGAGGAGAAGCGGTCAGTGCTGGCCACCGGCCTGGAGAAGCTCAAGTCCACCATCCACCCGGGGAGGAGCAGCCAGCTCAGCGAGCACGAGACAGAGAGAAAGAAGGTACATTTTGATAGTACTGTGTAATACTACAAAGGCTGGCAGCGCTCCTAAAGGCTGGTTTCCACCCAAGAATAGACCTCAGAGAAGAAGAATGACACTGCAATACTGCCCTGCAGAGGCAAACAACAACAGCAGTGTGTGTGTGTGTGTGTGTGTGTGTGTGTGTGTGTGTGTGTGCAGTTTATGGGTTAATGACCACAACTTGTGTTAAATTTGTGTTAGATTTTACACTTTTTGTTCATACTACTGCTGCTTTTTGAGTTCTGAAAGCACATAGTAATGATGATAACTTTGTGACTTTATATAAGACAAGATGAGAGATAAGATAAAACTTGATTAATCCTGAAGGAAATTCTTGTGCCAGGACTTAGTAAAGTTTTATCTTGTCTTATCTTACATAAACTCATGAGTAAACGATTCAAGGCCTTTATTGGTCACAAACATAATTATACGTATACAGTCGTGACTCGATAATCCAACCCATAACAATCCTCCGACAGGTTTTTAGGAAAAACAGATGGAACCCATAAAAAAACAGCCTTAACATAGCGACAGCCTTGGATTCTGATTCCGACATGACATCTTATATCACCAATCAGGATAACAGCGTATTATCTGACTAAACAATCCCACAGATTGGCTACGTTCACACTGCAGGACTTGATGCTCAATTCAGATTTTTTTGTGAGTTCGTTCACATTTCCAATTAAACACGACTTGTATGTGATCTGCTGTGTGAACTTCATACGACCCAAAAGTGTCCCGCATGCGCAGAAGAGGACACGACGACGTCACACGCAGTGAGCGTGCTCAGTGTTTACGGAAGTAAACATGGATGGTAGCGGTGGAGCATATCTGCCACTCACCCACCGCCGATGGTGGAGGCAGAACTGTGACCGCTAACTAAACTGGCATCAGCAGCCAAAGTACTGCCTTTGCGTTCTGGACACTTCCACCACATTGGAGCGCACCGAGTGGAAGTGGCCAGAACGTGCACAAGCGCACTTGTCAATTAGGCGTGAAATCCAGCGATGCGTAGTGTTCTAACAATACACTAGTTATTATAACAACTATAAACAATGAATATTAACAACAAATGACCCCTCAAACATCAAGCCCTCCTTGTATCTCGACCTCCGTCTGGACAATCCGACAGCCCTGCTAAGAAGGTTTTACATTTAGTGTCGGATTATTGAGTCACGACTGTACAGTGAAATGTATTATTTACCTGTTCCAGACTGAAACAATAATAGGAAGAAGAAGGAGAAGAATAAGAATAAAGAATGACAAAGAAAGGCGAAAAGTAACCAGTTGGATAGTCAAGTTGTAAAGTTACCATCGTTATTGTACAACATACAACAAATGGGCAGCAATGACAGAATAAGTAAAGAGGTAATTAAAAAGTGAAATGTAATTACTAATAGAAGCTAATATGAGCAACAACCAACAGTATTTTTATGATCTTTAAAAAAAACAAAACAACAAAAAAAACATACCTTCATAATGTGCTGCTTTTAATTTAAGTTAATGTATTTCAGTCAGGTTTGATTTCAGGCAGATGATGCTGTAATTAATGAAAGAGTAATGAGATTTAGTTGTTGACTAAATGACTGTAATTGATTGCAGCCTCATTCAGCTTATATCCAGTTCATCAGTCAGTGTGTTTACTGTTCTCTTGCATCAAATAGAAATGCTCTAAAAGGACATCAGATTGTTGTTATTCCTTTCATTTACCTTTGCTTCTGTTCACCTCCAGTCGCTGACGGAGGGGGCGGGCTCGTACTACCACCTGACCCACAGCGAACTGGTGGCCCTGCTGGTGCAGCGCGAGGCCGAGCTGGAGAGGCAGAAGGCCGAGTATGACCGTCAGAAACTGTTGCTGGCCAAGCGGGAGGTGGAGCTGAGGAGGCTGAAGCCGCAGGTCAGAGATCTGGAGGACTACATTGACACGCTGCTGGTGCGCATCATGGAGCAGAAGCCCACCCTCCTGCAAGTGCGCTCCAAGTTCAAGTGACGACGTCGGGGGGTTCCAAGGGTTTGCAGTTCAGTCCGCATCTGTTCACTCTTAACCTCCACAACAGCTCTTTAGTCTTTTCACTGCTATGCTGTCCTTTTTGATACAAATATTTAGGCACTGAGAGATGTCGAGGCGACGTTTTTTCCGGCCGGCATGCTTTACTGTACTGAAACACGTCGAGAAAAGGTTCGGGTTCCGAGTGGGTTTTGAATGTAGCGCGTCCTCAGGTTGTTTTCAGGTTCACAAAGCCAGGTGGCGGGTTTCACGACCCAGATGCTTCCATTTTTTGGGATCCTGATTGTAGAAACATTGACTCCTCCTTTTCACCTCACCTGTCACTTCTGTCACCGTGTCACAAAAGAGAGAAAACTGTCGGGTTTCAGTCCACAACGGCGGGTGTTCACCAGCGCTACAGCTTTGTAGTGAGAGGAACGATGATGACCCACTCTGGTGGTTCTGCATGTGTTCGTCCATGAACTACAGGGTTTAGAACGATTTCCCTCAACTGTAGGTTTCAGTGAAAGAGGCTGCTCAAGATAAGAATCCATGGCAGTGATCATTCTGTTGCCTTTTTTATGTCTTAGCAATGCAGTTATTACTTTATGGTTAATAGATTATTCATAGACTGGCAACCTGTCCAGGACGTACTGCGCTTTTCATCCAAGTGTCAGCTGGGATGAACTCCAGCCGCCCACAGCCCTCCTCAGGAGAAGGCTGCTGATGGATGGAGATGAATCGCTAAGTCTAGAAAATGTCAGAAAATAGTGATAAATGTCACAGTTTCCTTTAAGTAACATCTTCAGATTCCCTCTTTGTCCAACGACAAGTTCAAACCCCCAAAATATTGAATTTAATGTACATGACAAAGGAAAGCAACAAATATTTAAATTTGAGAAGCTGGAAAACGTCAAAGTTTGGCATCATTGTTTGAAAATAACAGATTCTCAAAACAGTTAATTTCCTATTAGCTCACTAATTGATAAGCTGACTAATTTTTTGGCTCTGTTATGTTGGCTTTGGTATTTAAAACACAGAGGAGCCATCAAATTAGTCTCACATAGCCAGACGAAGGTCCACAGTGCTGTTTCATCGATGGAGAATGGAATGACCATTCTGCTATGGAGGGAAAAAACACACCTGTACCTCTTTAAACCAACCGCAGCTGTTTGGGGCAAAGCTAAGCCCGGGATGCAGTGATGGTGCCCCTGCAAAATAATAACAAGGGGAGTAGTTTTGGTGGAACATTTTTATGCAGGGACACAAACACTGTCATTAAAATGGCTAATTCCTGCCTTATTTGATAACCCAGATCATTAAAACTTACCATTTTAAGGGTGTAGGTTGCTGCTTGAAGGCTTTTCCTGTAATTTCCTGTAAAATCGCTCACCAGTTACCAGTGTTTTGGGCCAATCTAAGCCCAGGATGCAATGAATGTTGCCCCTGCAAAATAATGACGACGGGAATTGTTTTGCCACATTTGCATGCATTTAAATTGGTAATTCACTGAATAAACCAAGCAGCGCTGTGTTATTTGATCATCCAAATCAGGTCATTTTCAGGCTGTAGGTGGCTGTTTAGTTTTTTTGTGTTTTTCCTGTAGTAAAGAGAATTTTAAAAATGGTGACATGCAGATAGCGGAGTAGGAGGATACAGGTGTGTGGAAATGGCAAAAATTTTCCCCAAAGTCGACATCTGGTGAAGCCACGCTTACCACGACTGTGATATACATCAGTCAATATCATAACAAAGGCAATAAAGTGTTCCCTGTACAGGATTTAAAGTTTTAATTCTCTGCAAGTTGAGGCATTTCGCCAAAGATTATCCAAAATCTCTGGAGAAATGGGAGTAAGGAACTTTAAGTGAAATTGGAAAATTAACAGAATTCATGTCAGGTACACACAAAACCTAGTTCATGTGTAAAACGTGCAGAACCACCGGTGTGCTTCTTTACTTTTTCCAGATGACATACGTGCTCTTTTTGGATTGACACCCCACAAACGTTCCCTGACGATTAACGACCGAGTGCTCCGACTAGTTTTTGAAACTACAAACCAAATGAGCTGTGTGAGAGTTGAGCTTCGTCACGTGCACAACACTGGGAACCGATTGTAGCTTCTGAATGTTCAAAAGTGTTCTTAGCCAGCAAGCGAATGGTTTTACTTTCAACGCACGATAAGTGCTGTTTATCTTTTGCTTGTTCCTTCCTTTTTCCCTCCTCCTCCTCCTCTTCTTTCTGTTCCACGGGCATGTCTTGAAATTTACCCATAATGCTCAGCCACATAAGCTAACTTGATTCTCGTAGGGGTCACGGTGTTATCAGGTGAAGACAGTATCACTCAGTATCCAGTCAGTATCAAGATCAGCCATCACAGCTTCTCTGATCTCATGCTTCTGCCTTCCCACATGTGCGTTATCGCCACGGCGTTGAGAAGATGCCTGCGACATGCTGGTACTCGACTTCCCTCCTTTCAGTGTCCGTGTGTCACATCTGCTTCTACACGAGCACGCATAATCGCTTCTACTGCTTTCAGGTGTTACAAAGGGATATATACCGCATTTTACAGCATATATGCCGTATTGAAATGCCAAATGCTGCCTTATTTTTGTTCCGTTCATTGAGAATCTCGCACTTCATTTTACTTGTCGGGGCTCGGGGGGCAGGTCTTGAAAACAAAAAAGAGAAAAGCCATCTGTTCACTGAAAGTTTTTTTTTTTCTTCTTCTTTTTTTATTCTTCTAAAGCTTTGTTATGATATTGTTTAGGTCACTGCACAAAAATAAATTGTATGCATACCAATAGAAACTGAGTAGTTACAGTGATTTCCTGTGAAATGCCAAAAAAATAAAAAACTTAAAAAAAAAAAAATCTAAATAAAAAAAAACAAAAAACACAAAGCCTTGAAACTTAATCTATGGAGCAGATTGATACACCATAAAGTATTCTGATATGATGCCACTTTTAACAGCATTTGTGGATGTTCTTGCACTACTTAATCGTCAGAAGAAAACTCTACTGTACCCGTCTGTCTGATCTCGGTATAGTTAGATGTACTTTACACCGTACTGCACTTTCTAATCGCTCTGTGATTTAAGCACTCGGCCTATTTTTGACACCACAACGATGATTAGCCAGTGAGCTCAAAGCATACAAAAACACATCTAAAAAACATCTCGTCATCTCGGTTCTGCTGTGCGATCGCAATATCAAGTGCATAGATGACTGTAGAGACATTTTAAATGTGACTCGGCACTTTCCGCAGTGCAAGAAATAAACATCCTCGTTCATGTCTTCCATTTTACAAAGTTCTTATTTAAGTTTAAACTGATTGTATTTTGTCCTCGATTGTGTAGCTGGTGGAATGTGCTTAAAGGTAGTATGTGAGATTGGAACGTTTACAATCCGTGATGCAATTCTGTTTCACAAATTTTGTATATTTAATAAAGAATATTTTGTGTTTCTTGCTCACCGTATGTTTGGTGGTGATTCTTTCTTTGTTTGCAGCGAGATGTCCTGTTTGCATTCGAGGTTGGTTTCCGATAACGTCCAACTTTCATTTCTTATTTTTTTCCACAAAGCATTCAGGCCATCATTAAACCAACTACTTGTGTTTGTTCTTCTTTTTTCTTCTGCTTGTTAAAGTTATTTGCTGCATTTTTACACTATAAAGCAGGACATGGACAGATTTAATAAAATATGGGGGTTATGTTTTGTAACCCACATATAGCTCTGTTGAAAAACATGTAAGGAGCCATTATTTCTGTCTGATAATATCACAAATACATTCAATTATACAAAAAAAAAAAAACATATCTTGTTACTCAATAATTGGATTTAGGTACCTATATGAAGGATGTAGATAATTTTGTAATTTACATAATTTTGTAGAGTTTTAATTGTAATATTTAAAGTATTTGGGTAAATTCCCATCATAAACAATACTGTAGAGTCTTAACCTTTATGTTCCATATAATTAACTTGACAATAGTGTTGAACTCAGTATTTATCGAGTGAATCTTTTCCTTTGTTAGACAGAGCTGTTGCTGACGATGACTGGCCTCACTAATGCTGTGATTACACCTTTTCTGCTTCGTCTTCATCAGTTCTTTAGTGAGGAAGTTCAAACCAGCTGGTATATTGTGACTGGAGAACATATACTGAGCTTGTGAGCACTTTGTGTATGGCTAAGCATGCTAAATAAAATATAAACCTCTTCTTCATATAACTTCTTGGTAAAGAAGTAGCACAAACTTCATTATAGGACACACTGAGGTAGTGAGTTCAGCCTCCACAATACTGACAATAATTTAACATTTTATATACCGAGTTTGATTCCTAAATTGTGTTTTCTGTCAGTTTTGTTTTCCACCATGAAGGTTTAAAATGCTGTTTCACAAACCCAGGACTAATATTCCACTGCATTCTTTATATACAGACATTTCTTTTTTCTTTCTTTTTTTTTTTTTGTACAAAGCTGTACTGTTTGTTAATCACATATATAATGACAGGACTAATGGTCACATGCTTAAGTTAAGTCTAAAACTACTGGAATCTGCCTCTAAACATCCCACAATGTGCACTAAAAGGTTTTAATCGTATGTTAATCTTACAAATAGAAAAAATATGACCAAAGGGACATATATATATAAATATATATTGAAACTAGCAATAAACTCTATAACTCCTCCCATTTCTAAAGAAACAACAGCTGAAACATCACATAGAATCTGAACAATTTCATTTGCAATATCACTTTTCTCAGTAGTTTGTGCAACATCAGTATCCTGTGCAACATTACAATTTCAGGTGCAATATTTCATTATCATGTAAAATATTAATGTACCCCAGAACCGTTGCCAGTATTACTTCTCGCTTTCCTACTCTAGTCTTATTTGATCTTATTTATTTAATATATTAGTAATGTATCGCACTTATGTATCATATTGCTTTTCTATTAGGCAGTGCATTTATTCTCACTTAATTTTGTTTTTTGAGCATATACCAGCAGAACCCCCCCCCAAAAAAAAAAAAAAAAATTTCAGTATTATATGTAATAAAAAGTTCAATCTTATTTTATGTTACACAGACACATGCAATCAGTGTTTGCCCAAAAAAAAAATCTACTAAGTGTAGTAAATCTAATATTGATTTAACATTCAAGGATGTCATTTCTGCTGCACTGTTGCATATTTTTATTATAAACTACTCCTGACTTTGTTTTAAAGCCACCACTAGGGGGCTATGTTATCCTCTATAAGCTCAAACTTCTACCAGTGCAGCCACCGAGAGCATTATGTTAAAAATAAATGTCTGATTTTGATGTATTGTTTTCCAAACTAGTGCACCTCTTTCACCGCTAACTTCCCTTTTAAAACAATAAAAACAAAGCACGTCCTCCTGGGAAATGTAGTCACTCTTAACGAGCCACTTCCTGTCAGAGAAACAGCGGGCCGGGAAAACTACATTACCCAGAATGCAACGTGGCCGGTGACAGCTGAATGTTGACCACCACACAGCTTTTCTGGTGCAGCAAGTGTTTGTGGAAAAAGGCGTTTAATAACCACAGAGAAGGAGCAGACGGGTGTATGTGCAAGTTAGCGGCAGCAGCATGTCTGAATATCCGACCTTCCAGTCCGGCACGTCTCGTTTCGACCAGGTACTTCCATTTTTAACTCAACCAAAGTCTAGAAACAACAACTGCAACTTCACATGTCAACATCAGGCAGCTGTAGACACATCAGCTCGATACTTGTCTGCATCTGCTCATGCATGTTTGCATATTTAGCTCCAGTACAGGCAATAAAAGGTTATTTTTGGAGGTAGTTTGCCCGCTAAACAAGCTGCATCCCGCTAACGTATTAGCATATTATATTAGCATTAGATGTCTCCTCGGTCAGCAGTTGTGTCCGTCAGCATGCCCGAGAAAAACACAAAATGTATTTACTTTTTTAAAACTAAACTAACGTTGCAAGTTTGATGAATGGCATTTTCTCCGTTTGAAAGCTTCCTGCTGAACAGTAATGTGATTTTGAAAAATTAAAGTTTAGCAGACAAAGTTCGAGTTTAAATGGAGCGCGAGAGGAACAGTCTCACAACGGTCGTTTCTTCCTCCAAATACAATAAAACTGTCGCTGAAACTGATATATTACAGGTAATAAATGTTGCTAACCGTACAATTTACTTACTTATTTATTTATTTATTTATTTATTTATAAAGAAAAAAGCCGTCAACTGTCACTCGTGAAAAAAAAAAAGTTTAATTGGGTGATGAATAATGTTGATAGGTGCGCAGGTGTAGCTCGCTAATCTGATTGCTAGTTTGTGCTAGCAGCTAACAATTTGTAGCTAGGGCTTAGCTGTAGAGACAAATATATATATATATCACCATATATATATATATATCATCTTTATAGATACTTCTTGATAATTTTTATTGGTATATATATATATATATAAAGACCAGTACTACAAAGGTTTATTTGAACTGAGCAACTTTTGCTTGTCTGTCAAGGTGGACAGGTAGTAGAATTAGCATAACAATCAAAAACCACAAATTTATCAATCAATTTTATCTATATAGCACTTTTAAAACAGCTTAAGTTAACTGAAGTGCTGACCATGTTCACACATAGGCAGCAAAAAAAAATGTAGACAGACAATATACCAATATAAATGTTAACACAATGTAAAACGAGGAAATTAAACGAGTTAAACAAAATGAAACAGTATAAGATACTAAAACAGGCAAAAGAAGATAGCAACTTGTGAGATCAATTTCAAAAACAGAATAAATATTAGAAACACTACACGCAGGCAAAAGCCATTGAAACCATCTATTTATTTGAATTTTTCTTCAATGGAGGAGGAATATATGACAGAGGACGGCTGTCAGCAGTAACAATAAATATGGATGAAGGAGCATGCTGGAGTTCAAGCAACCAAACTTTTGATATGGGCTTTCACGGTGGTTTGCATCTAATGCACTTAACTATCGAACACTGTATCAGCAGTTTTTCCTTTTGCAATTCATGAAGTGTCAACTGCTTGGGCACATCACTATTGCTTTATTGCCCCGACCGATTTCTATCTGTAGAGCTGAGGCTCACCAAATCACTGTCCTCTTTTCATTCAAATTTTAAAAGTCGTATTTATTGCTTATCATGTGCGTAACCTTTTTCCTATTGTTATATTCTGGTAATGCTATTATCTCCTGTTTTGAAGCCTGTTCCACTCTTGTTTAAAAAGGTGCTATACAAATAACATATTTTACTATTATTATGTTAAAATGGAATATTGTTTCTTCCCTTTAATGACCCCTTTCACTAATCACTGATGGTCAATGCAGAAATAATAAATACGCTCCTTCAAAAAATATGTTGGATACCTTTGCAAGATTACCAGCTTTTGCATATTTAAAGTGAGAAGTGTTTGCATATATAGTTTTTTTTTTAAAAAAACATGGAATTGTTGTGGTTAAATTTGCCTCTGTGAATGTGGATTTAAGCTAAAAATGTGGTCGTGCTTAGATGTGTTCAAGGCATAGACATGGGCAATATGTTCAGCCAGGATATGATAATTAATTAAAGCCCAAATTATATGCCAGACAGTGAATTTGAAACAAGAGAACAAAACTTCCAGCACACGAGGTAGTTATGATCAATATCACATTTTAAAGAATCAGTCAGGTCACAAAACACACTGTAGCACAAATGAAGTTGCTTCTCGCCTTTGGGTAAGTGTTAGGGTTACTCCCCCTGCCTTCCACTGTTCACCAGTGTCGCCTCACACCAGTCAAGTTGGTCTGGCACTGGTGAATAATTGAATTTAACAGATTTTAAAAAGCTATTCCCTCTAACCATGTTTTTATCAACCTTCCATATGCTCAGGAAGTCACAAGGCCTAGCAGTGAGTCAGATACCAGATTTTCATCCAAATTAGCAGTTAGTGTAATTAAGCTCGAGTCAGGGAGGGACGGGCGGCTCTCAAGGCTGCGTGGTGTGTTTCTGTAGCTCCCAAATTATTCCTTATGCTCAGTTATGAATAAATGATCGCAAGGTATTTCTGGCACAGTCATTATAGGAATTAATTGCAAGTGGTGTGAGTGGGTTCGGTTTCCCTAAAAGATGCAGATACGAAACAGTTTGTCGGAGGCATTAATGAGGAGCCTCCACCTGGTGTGTTAAAACAGCTGGCGGGCTGTAACACTGCTGTTTACTGGGTGACAGCTGGAATCGCTCTTCTTCTCTGCTCAAAGAAACAATCCAGAATGTGATCTGACTGCCTGTATTTGAGCAAAAATGAGACTTATTTCACCTGTAGAGTTGGTGGAAAGTTAGATTTTCTTAATTTATTCATCCCCACTTAAGTATTCCAGTTATTACATATCGAAAAACTAAAAATCTAATTTGTAGGTCTCGCTGTTAATGATGTTTGAATATAAAGTCATTCTTCTTTAGTGTGAGAAATAGCCATGGAAACAAAGCACATGTTTTAATGGACTTTTCTTCAGTTAATGTGTGTTTAATGTTTTCTTCTTTCAGAAAACGTTCTTTGGTCGGTTCAGGCACTTCTTGGATGTGATTGACCCCAGCACACTCTTCGTAACAGAGGTACAGGAATTAATTAATTTATTACATCGTCAGGTGTGAGACTAGAGTTACTTATTCACTCATGCTACCCAGATTAACTCTCCTGGTCTCATACTGTCATACCCAGAGGACTTTACAGTCTGTATATCATGTGACATCTGCAGCCTGCTGACCCACAATAAAGATCATGAAAAGACAATAAGGGAGAGAAATGGGAGAAACTTCAGGATGGATGTACAGCTGGTGTCTGGAGAACAGAATAGGCAGAAATAGCAATGCAACCAACCACCAACTACAAAATACCAGAACTACAGAAATACTAAAATCTACAAATCGTTTCGTACACAGAAGAAATGTGACATAAAGCAGCTTTTAGTGTTACGGAGCTGCACAAATGCAATCAGAATGTTAAACTGTAGGACTGAACAATATGCAGAAAATGATTGTTTTGAAAGATATCGTGATGAATAGTGGTTTTTAGTTGGAGTGGTAATTTTTTTCTTTCCAATTGTAAAGATTATAATGTGATTTTTGCTACCAAACGAGCATTTTTCCTCATTTCTGGGGATATAATTTAGAGAGCAGTAACACCACAGTGCTTCAAATATAATATTATGCTTGGCCATATTACGATTTTGATCACATTTCATGTATTTGTTGAGCCCTTTAAAAGTGTATGAAGTGGATCGACTGTAAAACCAGCTCGTGGCATGAGAAAGGATAGAGCTTCACATGTACACAAAGAAAGAGAGAACAAGTGCCAAATAAAACGTAGCAGGCACTAGATCCAGGATAGTGTCCATAGACCCAGACCAGAGTCAAACTGATGAAGCACTTGCATGAGCCAAAACCAAAAAAATAAAAAATAAAAATCAGTATGTAGGATATAGTCAAAAGAAAAAACAAGGTTTTTCACATTTTGAGAGGCAGTGACTGTTCATGAGTTTAACTTTCCTCCACTAAGGCAGGAGCTTAAGGGAAGGTATGTTTTCAGTCTTGTTTTTTGTCTGTCAGCAAAGTAATATAAAAACTCCCAGGACAGATTTCACATAAATGGTTTGGAGGTGGAGCAGAGCCAAAGGAAGAACCCATTAACCTTCCCTAAAATTGCCGGACATTGTACTGACCATGTGTTACATCAGCCGTTGCCCTCTGACTTTTTCCAAACATTGTTTTGATACCTGCACAGATTAAGGGGTCTGTAGTCAGCTTCCCTCCTGTTTTTCCCCCGTCAGGTAGAACTGCTCTTAATGAAATGCAACTGTTACTTGAGAAGCATGAAAACGTAAAAATCTGAGTAGCTGTCGATGGCTAATGGCAGCGAGGATGTCGGGTTTTGGTGGCATCAAGCTTGATGTCGGTGAGGCGGGTGTCTCATTTTTAAAGTTTCATTTAACCTTTTCTGTCACGACAACACCTTCCTGACTAGGCCAGGACACGAAACAACGCAGATGAATCATTTAATTACCAAAGAAAAGAGAGGAAAGGAAGCAGATATCTCAGGCACTGAGTTTGCATTCTTAAAATGTCCGTGTTGTTATTCATTTAACAAGTCTAATTTATGAACATAAATAGGGAGTCTCAGTTACTGTAAACACACGTGTGACTTTTGGGTTAACCGGCTGTTCTGTCTAAACGCCGCGCTGCTCTGCTCGTCGTCACACAGGTCTTAGCTGTGTTGTGGTAATTCTGTTCATGGAGCCATCAGAGCTCTGCTGCTGTGGGTAATGAAGCTGTTAGTGGGCTCTTTGGTGACAGTAATAGCGGCAGTAACTCCTGGGATGTGATGAGGTGTGGACATATGGGGCAGCTGTGAGGGCTGGGAAGTGTGTTTGCTCACACACACATATCTTGCACCTTGCTGGGCCAGGAGAAGCCTCGACTTGCCCCCAGTGATGAGAGCGGAACAGGGGCATTTGCATACGATCACAGTAATAAGTGCACAGCTCACACCGGCGCACACGCTCGCACACATAGACGGCACGCTCATTAGAACAAATTGGTCGACGCGACCTCGTATTTTGCTCAGCATTAGACAGTGATCACACCACAGAAAGCTGCTCATTACCTTTTAGGAAACTCATTTGTCAACTGAAAATCAGCATGAAAGTTTCAGTGAAGCACAATTATCACACATTGAGCCGTGCGGCTGACGTAGCGAAAGAGGAAAGAAAAAAAAAAATCACATCTAAGCTGACTGGAGCTCTCCAGGGATCACTGCTCAGACTGAGTTTTACATGTTGTTGACTTTCATCTCCTGTCACATCAGAAACGGCTGCAGGAGAGCGTCGAGCTGCTCGACCGTTTCAAACAAGGAACTCTGCCTCCAGGAGTGACAGATGCTCAGGTAAAGCAAACTAAGGCAGACACAAACTCATTTAGGATCAAGTCTTTATGGTGACAGAGCAAAGTGTTTTTCTTTTAAGAGTGTCAGTGAAAACAGTATGACAACCCATTTCTATCGCGAGCTCATTTAACATTTAATAGCTGCATTTGACTCTCTGGAATTAACACTATAGATATCAGCAATACAGTTATGACTAGTCAAAATTCAATTTTGACTATTCAAAAATACAGTTGGAGATATCTGCAATTCCATTCTGACCAGTCACAATGACAGTTAGAGATATCTGTAACTCAGTGTCGACTGGTCAAAACTGAGTTACAGATATCTGCAATGACCTCAAGAAAACCGTGCTTCACCTCGTCACGCATCCTAAACGCCACTTGCAGATATCTGTTCCTTCCCATCATTGCCAACCGCTTGCTCAGAGGGACTCCAAAGGCTGCTTTGGATTGTTGGGTTCTCTGTTTAAATTTGTAAGGTCTATACCTTACTATGTTCAGCGTTATATGATGTCATATGTTGTAAACTGCGCTATACAAATGGAATTGAAACATAATTTTATCGGTTTCTTAGCAGAAGAAATGGCAGAAGAAGCACCTGTCACAACTTCTGCCATAATTACAGATATCTGCAACATCAATTCTCCTAGTCAAAAGTCTGTTTCAAGATATCTGTAGTAACATTTTGACTGTTAGCGATATCTCAAATTTGAGATATCTTTAACCACAATCCATTTAAAGATATCTATAACTTGGTAATAGATGTCTGCAACTAAATCATGACGATCCATAAATGTAGTTTGAGATATCTACAGTTTCATTCTGACTAGACATAATTCCAGTTCAAGATATCTGTAAGGTCATTTTGTCTAGGTAAAACCTAATTAAAGATATCCACAAATGCCATTATAGATATCTTTGATGGAGAGGAGTTGAAGGTATCTTTATTTTGGAATTGTGACTAGTCAGAATGAAATTGTAGATATCTCACAATGGAATTACAGATAGTCATAATTTAGCTGCAGATATCCACATCTCACATTGTGGATATCCATAATTGAATTAAAGGTATCTGTTAATGACAAACCCTGTACACATCAATGGGGAAAGAGACATGATTCATTCGAGGAGGAATTAAGTTGTGGAGATATGAAAGTACAGTAGTGGATAGGAATAATGTCGTCGTGGATATCTGAAATGTTCATTTTGACTGGGAAGAATTGAATTGGAGATGTCTGTATTACATATCCAGACAAGCTATTAAATGTTAAAAGGGCTTGCCATACATTTCCTGTGTCACAGATATCGATAATTCAGATCTTCCTTTTCAAAAAGAACATTTGAGATGTCCACAATGAAGCTGTTCCTTAGACGAATGCCGTCACTTTTACCATTCATGTGTTTCTCTTTACGCATGTCTACAATTCAGCTGAACTGTAGCTAGTTTTGAGTAACTGTTCAGTCCTTACAAATGAAAGTTATTATTCATTTTTTTTTTTTTTTTTTTTTAACAGCTTTGGCAAGCCCAGAAGATAAAGCAGGTAAGAATTCTCATCGACCCTTCCTCTTAGTCACACACACAAACCGTGATCGTTATCTTCATCGTCTGATTGTTGTGACACGGCGTCAGTGAAATGGCAAACAAAACTGACACCGCTCAGCTCAACACTTCCCTGTTTACATGACAAACATGCGACAGAGTGGACAAAAACATGAAAATGCAACAATAAAAAGAGACTTTAATGGTCAAGTAACCGCGTTAAAGTTAGACAGTGAAGCGGGCGAGCTGGTTTCACCTCCAGTGATGACTAGCTGCCAGTGCCAGCCACCAAACATGGCTGAGCTGCAGGTGCAGTTGGTCAAAGAAACACTAGAGTTGTATAAATCTGGTATTCACGAGTCATCTCAATAAAACTTAATTGTTGTAATGAATTGATTATTATTTAATTAATCAGTGTCTTTATGCGAAATGTCAATGCTATGCAGTTATGTTCTGTACTTGATAAGCTTTTATGAAATAATAATAATAATAATAATAATAATACTACTTTATTGATCCCTTACAGAGAAATTCCATAAATGTATCAACTCCTTAAGGATGCTTCTTTTATCCTCATTTTATTTAAAATGTGGTTTTACGTCTGAACTCATTTTAAACCTATTAAATCTCAGACTGTATATTGAAGTAACATAAACACGTCCTTGACTGCAAAAAGTGTCGTTAGGTGTGTACCGGTATAAGAACTCTTCTAAGAAGGAACAGTTAATTTAGAGTTTATAAATGTAGCATGGCAAAAATACAAAACACTTATTTTCTGTGCCTATTTCACTCAGGAAAGATGTTTATTTGTTTTCATCACTTGATGTATTTGAGACACTTTTATTTTTTACCCAGTGTGAACTGTACTCTAACAGATGAACACACAATCTAGACATCCAGTATCTGGATACAAAAGGTTAGAATGAGGCTTTAATCAGCTGCCAACTGTTAAAAATGTTGGTTTGTCTTTGGTATTATATGCACCATGGCTGTACTGTATCGACCAGGGGTTCTCGACCTTGTTAACCAAAGATCTGCTTTTTAATTCATGGGGTCAGAGGTCTGGGACGAATAGTAATAGCAAAATAACATTTAATGAACATACTTAGTTTTAAGTTCAAGACGGTCAGTACGCCACAAACTTTACATCTGTTGTGATTGGATCGGCATGGAGCTGACAGTTTGTCCTTATTTATTTCCTAATTAGACATTCTTACATTTACACTAGATGCAGAAATTGTGTAGTAGAGAAAATGAACAAAATAGAGCAGTTTAGGAGCTCGTGGCGTTATCTGGTTAATGTGGGAATTTTGAAGCAGCGACACACAGCGATTATTCCAGCAGTTAACATCTGCATGACATCGATGTTAATGATAAAGAAATAAGACACAATAAAACCACATTCATCAGGGGTGACTAGCTAAGTGACTAACTGTAACTACTACTAACTAATACTTACTTTGGTGGATATTCTACAAACCTTTTTTCTTTGAAGGGCTCTTACGTGAGCTCAACCCAGTTTCCTGATTGAAGGAACTATATGTTGATATTGCTGTTGTTCGAGTGCTTCTGTCTTGGTGGTTTTGTCGAACTGACTAGTGTTGGACTAGATGTTTGTTTCCTATTTTGCATGTTGTCAGCACCATCCTTGACTGGGAGAGTGCTTTTAACACTTTCTTAAATATCTTGTGTTGAATTTTGCGTGCCAGACAGAGAAAATGCGGCAGGTACTCTTTGCTGCACACCTGTGGTGATTGCAAATGTAATTACTCTGTCTGTTTCTTTGTGTTATTCCACTCTGAAAAAAGGCACAAGCCGACACACATTTGTGTGTTTTTAACATCTCTAGCCGGTAAAGGTGTTTTACTTCACAAAACCACCTTGAGTGCCTGGACCTGGATTAATATTCCATTTTTATTTGGTGGTAATTCTTCCGCCCTTCTTTGATACCTGTTTACAGAACCCAAGGTATGTTTCAGGTTTGGATCGATGTCCTGTTTGGTCCTTTAAGAACCCTGATACAGGCCCTGTAACATGACGGCATTTGAAGGCAGAGACATAACGGCCGTTAAGGCAAATTTGGACCTGGTTTGTCCCAGTCTGGGTCTGCTGTAGATGTAATCTGTGATAAGAAATTATTCTAATCCTGATCTGATTTTAAGTCTTCATAATACACCACCACAACGACCAAATATTCCGATATGCAGGTCCAGCCCTACTGTGTCGGTCGATGCACGGCATTCGCCCTCCTCCTCGGTCGCCGCCGTGCTTCTTGCTCCATGTGCATTAGACTGGACGAAAACAACAGCACTGCATATGCACGTTTTACTCAAATTTTGTCACGATATTTCAATTTCACATCATCTCCTAACATTACACGGTATGACACGGCCCAGCCCTACAGTTATTTTCACACTTTTTAACATGTTATTTGTAGCTGATATCAGCGACTATTTACATCACTTTTGTGTCACGCAAAGGAAACATACCGATGAATAGACAAAATGAGAAGGAGACTGGCATTTCTTGCAGTTTGCCTGTGTGGAATACAGAATCCACACGACCCATGTCGCTCAATCCAGCATCACAACCAAACTCGGTGCAGATTACACTGCATACATAGAGTGAGAGCTGCTGGTTGCTGTTCGTGTTTGTTTTGCTGCAAGAACATGCAACAGTTGGTGCTCTCTCAGGATTTGCAGGTTTTTTTTACTGCCAGAACTCCAGTTGTTACTAAGCAATCCTCCTGCATGTTGTCTAGTATTTTATTTTAAAGATTTCTGCTCTATGCTGTCTGTCAAAGACTGAAAAAACTGTAGCAAACAGTCTTTGTAGCTTCAGGTTGAGGTGAAGATATACTCCACGGGGCACTCATATTTAGACGTTATAGTGCCCATGAGCTCCATAAGCTGTGAGATGCCTTCCATTCTTCTCTAATCAGCAGTTCCCATCACCACTGAAGCAGTACGGGAAGAGATTTCCATCCGTCTTATCTTATGACGAGGAACTACCGCTGTCTGTTGTCTTTGGTGTGTACGCACAGGAAAACTTGCTTACACACTGTCGCCCTTTCAGTTGTTTCTGTCTTCTAATGGATTCTCAGATTGACTCCGTAGTGCTAAGATCAGAGCTCTGTGGGCTTCATCTGCCACAGGACTCAGGTTTTTGTTGCTGCAGTTGTTTACTTATGATTTTTTTATGACTGTATTACACAATGAATTTGGGATTGATCAAAGTTCTCCCTGATTCTGTAACATGGTGCATAAGAACCTAGAAAATGTATGAGGAGTGAGTAGAATGAGTACGAATACCAAATTATTCAGCTCCTCAGATCTTCATCACTGCTTTTACAGTTGATTGTGTTTCTTGGCATTTAATTATGTCGTGAAATCTCACAGGAATGAATTAGTCATCCCTGAACTGCCCGTATGATGCCAAACTTCAACTGTGCTCTGTGTTTAATGCTTTTCTAGCAAATGTTAGCTAACATATTAAATCAAAATCAACTTTATTGGCCAAGTTTGCAAACAAAGAATTGGTGAATCTAGCTCTCTGTATAAGAAATAAATGAGAACAATAAAATCAGAGTGAGGACAACAAACATATATTGCAGATTTTGAACAGAGTAAACATTATTTTTGCTAAACATTAGCATGTTAGCATTGGCACTCTGAGCATGTTTGTGTAGATTCTCTGTCATCCAGGTCTAAGCAAACCTCTGAGCTTTTGTAAAAAGCAACTACATTTCTTGTTTAGGATCTTGAAAAACCTGAAAGAGAAGTCCAGTTGTTTTTTTTTTGTTTGTTTGTTTTTTTGTTTGTTACAGATGTCAATGCGTTCAACACAACTCCAACTAAAAGTACACATTCTCAAAGGGGGATGTGCACATATTTCAAGACCTGAAAAAGTTTCATTCAACATTCAGCTCTACTAGATGATACCAGAGCTCACACTACCTTTAAAAATGTGTGGACTCCCAGCTGAGGGGGTCCCAGCTTGACTTAACTGCCTTTATTCTTTGCTAAAAGCGCCATTACAGCAGATATAGGTTTACTGATGTTCAAAATATTGCACATTACACCTTTAAAGTAAGTTCAGTAATAATCATATGTTGCTTCATGCTGCTGCCTGACTGTTTCTGGTGTAGCTGACACCTTGTTCTTAGTAGTTTCATCACATTTAAGGTGAAATTAATTCCTATAATCCCACTTTTGTAAACTTTCCTTTAGTTTTTCATCTCACAGCACCACTCGCTTCCTGTTCCATGTGAACTGAACTAACCCCTATCATTCTGTTCTCATTATCATCTGATTCCCGTCATTATGCTCTTATTACAGGCCATCATCCACCCTGACACAGGGGAGAAGATCCTCATGCCCTTTCGGATGTCAGGTACGGCGGCTCGGTGTGGAAACCTCGGGGGGAAAGTGGGATCTGGGGGCTTGTTATGTGGTCCAACATGGAGGCGTCGTTCACCCTGGGAACTGTCACGGCTCAACGGGGCTCTTCAGGTTGTCTCAGGCCCCGAAAAGGTCACACTCAGCTGGGCGCTGATTAAAACCTCTCTCCTATGGTGACGGAGGACTTCTCTGGGTTTCTGAAGAAGGCGAACTCTAGTGTTTTGGTCCAGTTTCAAAGCACCTTTTTTGTAAGGCGACTTTGAAGTGTCGGAGAGAGGTGTGAGCGAGAACGAACAAGAGAGGAGGGAAGGACGGCAGCCATTAACCTGTTAGGACCAGCATGTTTTATATGTGCCGGCTGCAAAAATCCAATCCTCTCTTTAACCTTTACAGGCGAACACAGAAACAGGATAAATGTGAAGTGATTTAGAGAAAAATCTCCACAAAAAGTCAGAAATATTATAGTAGAACAATTAGAAAATGAGACATTAGAAGTAAATCTGGCAGCAAATTACCTTAAATGTAAACATTCATGAGCAAAAGATGGTGAGAGTGTTAATACTAACTTTTTTTTTTTAACAGGTTTTATTCCATTTGGCACACCAGTGGTAAGACTTTTTCATACACTTTTTAGTAAAAAAGTCAAAACTTTTCATCGTATTCAACCAAAATGAGGGCCAAGATTACATAGAAATGTATTTATTAGTGTGTCGTGGCTGTTAAAGTTTATTTTTTTAATCTCTCTCTGCAGGTTGTTGGACTTCTGCTCCCTAATCAAACACTGGTGTCAACGATCTTCTGGCAGGTACTTCTTGAACTGCACTCAGTTAGGATAATAGAAGTTTCAGTTATTTTAATTTACATGCACGAAGCACGTGATCATTTGCCGGCAGTCGTGGCGAGACGTTCTAAAACCACTGAAATGACACGTTGAGAAATATGAACATAAGAAACAAGAAAAGCCAAAGTGACAACAACAGAGCATTTAGACAACAGTATAATAGCATTCACTTTACAGTTTTATATTCAACATTTTGTTTATAAATGCATCTATGCCTCATATGTTGACATAATTGCAATTTTTGTCTGTGGAAAACTTTGAACGGAATTAATTTTCAAACAGTTTGAGTCATGAAACATCTGAAACTAATATAAAAACTGCTGATGCGAGACAAAGCCTGCCATTGTTCAAATCATGGATTCTTTTCTGTGTTAGAAATATTAAACAAAACTACAGTCCAGGCTTACTTATGCCTTTTTCCTGAGCTTTTAACTTTTTTTATCTGGTCCAGAAGACAATGAGCTAGTGAGCAGACCTTGAGTTTAGAGTGTTTTGTCTAAGATGTTTGCTTCAGGAGTCTAGAATGGACGTGTATTATTTATGCTAAATACACAAAGGGATCACGTTTAATCAGACAAAGACATAACAATGAATTCAAATGCTGGATGCAACCACAGACAGATAGATTGAAGACAAGTGTAGCAGCACATTTACTATCAGGCTTCACGTTTTCCTCTTTTTTTTTTCTTTTTTTTTTTTACAGTGGTTAAACCAAAGTCACAACGCATGTGTTAACTACTGCAACCGCAACGCCTCCAAGGTACTGTGTGTGTGTGTTAATGAGTATTTACAGCTGCTTGTTGTTGCTCAGCAGAAGTGCCTTTTATTGTCTTCTTTTTTTGTTGTGCTCTCACTTTAGCCTGCTCCAGTTTCCAAATTCGTTCAGGGATACCTCGGAGCGGTGACCAGCGCCGTGTCCATTGCTGTGAGTTTCCATCATTCTTCTACTGTGACAATAAAAGGCCTGATGATTTGATATCATCAGTTAGAAATAGTTGCGTCATCTACTAATCTATTATGTCAATTATTAAGTCTTTTGAAGTGGAAGCAGCAGCTGCAGGATATCTCAATAGACTTTAGTCTGCTGCAAATAAAACTGGAGCTTTGTTGCTTCATTTTGCAGACTACATAATGTCAGTGAAATTCCTATTGTGTGGTTTTTTGGCAGGCTTCATTTTTCTGTTACACAATATCAGATAAAGTTTCCACCAGTCACTCTGCTAAAGCTTGCCAATACAAAATGTCAATAAATGGGCTTCAGTACAGAGTCTAAAGAGCGTTTCCTGTCCGTAGAGTTTTTATTTCATGCCACAAGATGCATTATGCATAAAATAAGTAGTCAGAGCCATTCTTGAGTATTTCAACCTTGAAGCTGCAGTGCACCGTTGATGGTCTAAATAACACAGATTCAGACGTAACAAACCCGCAGAACCAATCCTGCACAGTGAAACTTTTTTTAAATTATTGTTTTTCTTCAAAATTAGTTTGAACATATTTTACAACTTGCCATTTTATAGTGCAGAGGGATGTTGCAGTGTCGGTGAAAGGCAGGAAAAGACGAGTTTCACAAGAAAAAGTCTCCTAAATATGTACTTTTGATACATAGAGATTTGTTTTAGGTGCTGAATCAATGATCGGAGAGGGACTTTAAAGTTCTAACTGTTGTTTCAGATGCCTTTTTTTATGTTAGGTGCAACCTCAGGTGTTCTTTGGGGTGTAGTGGCGCACCATTCATGGTTCAAAACAACAAAATGCGTAATGTTTTCTGTAGTTTCATTTTTTTTTTTAAATGAAACAACTTCTTGTTGTAGCTGTTCAAGTCCTCCAGTGCTGCTTGTTGTCAATTAGAAAAGAGTCTTGGTAGTTCACTGTGAAGTATAAATTCATTAAGATAAAAAAAGTCCATTAAGGCGAGGGCAACACTTTAAGACTCAACTTAACCATTAAAGCCAGCAGACCAACTTCAAATTTCCAAATTGCACAAAGTAACACTGACTTTTGTTGTTTTATTTTTTTTATTTGTTTGAACCAACTTTATTGCAATTCTCTATGCACAAAAAACAATGTGAGTTTCCCATGGCGGCAGGTGGATCGACCTGTGCAGTGTGAGCAGAGAAGTTGCAGATTTTATGTTAGATTGAACTGCCAAAGTGCCTGCCCTACTTTCAACGCTAACCCCGTTAGCATGCTAACAGCAACTGTTGCACTGCCAAAATGTTCCTGGAGGATAATTTGTACGTCAATATAAATGGACTTGTGAGAAGAAATCACATCAAATTGAACACTGTGTACCAAACCGTTTGGGACAAATAAACCTACCATTTATTGGGTTAGACAGGAAAATGGCTAAATGTTCCAAAGCTTAATATCAGCCTAAACCATTCAGTAGCAGCCTTTCAAAATACGCTTATTACTTGAACCTTTTTTTTTTTTTCCATCAAAGACTCAAATGTCAAAAGAGTATAATGCACGTTCACACACCTGCCTGACACAGCCCTTAGCGTGGACAAGCAGCTCAAACCGAGCCAATTACTGGTCCTGCTGGGTGCTCATCCGGCTGATACCCTCGGGCTTGACAATGGCAGCAAAGCTCAGGGAGAAAAAAAAAAATCACGGGGTGTCTGGAGGGCGGAACGACAGGCCGGGAGGGGGGCAGGAGCTCTCCAATTAAACGCTGGCTCTGGTGACGACCCCCCGCCGGGCTGGAGGGAGCTGGAGGCTGCAGTGGCGTGGTGGTGTGTTATCAGAGCGCGCGTTCGACTACAAGCCTCTAGTATGCTACAACACAGCAAATTACATTATTCAACTGTTTATGCTCAGGAGTGGCAGGAGTTGTTGTCCCTTGTAGCCCACTAACCTAAGTTTACAAGCTTTTTGTTTGACTTTGTTAGTTTGAAAGACCAAAAACTCTTGTCAATTCTAAATAATCAGGTGTACCTTGTTTTCTCATCATGTCATGTGCATCTTGTGTTTTTTTTTTTTTTTCCCTTCAGGTTGGCCTGAATGTTTTAATCCAGAAAGCAAACCGCTTCAACCCAACCACCAGGCTTTTGGTGCAGAGGTTCATCCCCTTCCCAGCAGTGGGTGAGCTCAGTGAAATCAGTGAAACTCTTCATGGGGACGGACGGGGATTAGTTCTTCATTATGATGGTCTTTTAAGCTAAATTAGCTCAAATCTGAGTCCACAGAGTTGTTCAAGTCTTGGACCAACTTACTCGGGTTAACCTCGTTATTTTTTTGGTTTAATTGAAAAGAAGATCATCATCATTTTGAGCCCTTACAATGTTTAAAAACATATTGTAGTTTTCCTTTTCTTTAATGATGATAAATCTGCCTTTTTATATTCTCCTATGATCATGTTAAACTAAGCACAACAGAGTGATTTAGTTTCATCCGGCTCCTTGCGGTCCACTTTTCTCTCTGCAGGGTTAGAGACGTGTCGAGTGCTCTCTCTCTCTTTTTTTTTCTTTTTTTTTTCTTTTAGACGAACCACAAAGCTGATTTTCGTGCCACTCTCTCTCTCCCCCCCCAAACACAATCACACCCAGGGGTATAGACCCGTGTCCCAGAATGCCTCGGGCTGCTGGCTCATAATTAAATTGTTTGCCTCCTCCCCCCTTCCTTACCGTAGCGGTTCTTCTAATTAAATCAACAGGTTTCTACAGCGCAGCCTTTGCCTGGTAATTGGCTGCTCGTTAGAACTCTGCTGCCGCAAACAAATTGGATAATTACCCCTAAAGTGGCGTCTATGTCAAGGCCTCATTTACCTGATTTCTGTTTGTTCCATTGTTGTTGCTGTTGTTGTTTTGGAAGGCCCGTATAAAAGGTAATTAAAATGTCTAATTGAAGCGAGCGAAAGCAAAATGCTGTTTGAATTTTCACCCGTTTGATTTTGTTTGCTTACTTAAGGCTAGATTTATGTGTAATAACCTAATCAAGCGGCGGCCTGTCATTCAATTAGATTATGAAAACCTTCACTGGAGGGAAAGCCACGCTGGCAGAAATGTGTGGGTATAGCTAATTTGTTGTCTTTTGAAAAATATTTATCGTTATTTGTCATATTTAGGAAGTAATTATGTAAAAAAAAAAAATCTTGGATGTCATTTCTGCGAACGTGCCGCCAGTTATTAGATGAACACAAATGTTATTGTTTTAAATAATTACAAATTACGGCCAGCTATTTCAGCATTTAGCTGTGCAGATATTACAATTATCAATTAAATTTTATAATTACCTCGATGCCTTTTATTAATGTAATTACAAGCAGGTGTTTGAGAATTTGATCTGTTTGCTGTAGTTTTTGTCATTCCTTGCCAAAACGGTACTATCTGTCCTTTTTTATTAATTGGTCCGCATTTTAAAAAATCCCTCGTAGGTAAAAAGAGCTATTTGCTCAGTCAATTGAATTCCCCTCACAAAGCGACCTGCAGCCCTGCGGCCCTCAGTAGAGATAACTCTGAACGCTGTTGTCTTAAATTAAAAAGGCTCCAGGCGCCACCACTAAACTCTCTAAAATGAGTTTTTCTTATTCCTATTAGAGTCAAGAAGAAAGGTTCATCTGTATTAACATACATTTGTGTTCATTTTGGCTTTCGTGAATACATCACAGGGGAACAACACCGCTTTTTTCCAACGTGCCGCCCGTCTTGACTTTGTCGTCAGTTCGCTGTTTGTGTCTACAGTCGTCCTCAAATGTATTCATCCCCTTCCATTAAAGAAAAGGCAAAATTCACAATAGTCACTCAAATAACTAGAAACTGAAAAAAGTAATAATAAATAAAAATTTGCTAAATTAGAATTTAGTGAAACAAGACATTGCTTTTGGATTGTGGTTGAAAACAATAATTTAAAAAACAAAACGGTCCCGGACAAATTAGAGCACTTCGCTGGTGAGCAGTGAAATCCAAATCCCTGTCAACAGGTGCAGAAGTCTGACTGAGAGTTACAGAAAACACCTGATTGCAGTGATTGGCTCAAAGGGTTGTTCAACTAAATGTTAGTGTACAGGTCGCATCATGCTTGTTTTTCTGGGTTTTTGTTGGGTTTATTTTCATATTTCTGTTCAACCAAAATTCAAAATCAATGTCATGATTTTCATAAAATATTTATTTATTATTACTTTTGTCAATTTCAACTTATTTCAGTGACACCTGTTTTTTTCCTTCTTTAATAGGAGGGTATGAATACATTTGACGACATTGTAAGTCATACACACGGGCTTCAGTTTTGTGAATTACAACATGAATGACACAGCAGCGCTGATTTTTAGAACACTTTTTGCTCAACCATCTTTGATTTGTCTGATATTTCTACAGCATAATTTATGGATATTGATATTTATATTCATATATATTCATATATTTATATTTATATGCTGGAAGGACACATCATGAGTGAAATAAGCAGTGGATGCCACGGTTGAACATTTCCACCTTGAAACTGTAGTGTACCGATGACGAGCTCAGAAAACATGGATTCAGACCTCTGGGGTTGCTTACGTAACAAACCTAAAGAACCCATTCTGACAGCTGGCAAGGTGGAGCCTTCTGCATTTTTATTCTTCTTCAGAATCAGTTTCTGGCTTGATCATGAATGGATTAATTACTCAGGTGCTACAACCTGCAGAGTAGTTTTATGGTGTTAAAGCAGAGTAGGCTAGAGAGCGCCAGCTGCCATCAGTTTGTAAAAAAAAAACTTCTAAATATGTGACTTTCATACAAAGAGAGGAGATTTTAGGGGTTAAAGCTCAACAAGCAGAGAGTCAACTTGCCCAGCAGCTCATGCTGAGGGAAACGTGGAGCAAATTTTATAGAAATCTGTCTAATTTTTGAGGCATTTTGAAGGAAACAAACTAAGATGTCAATTTGTCGAAGTCAGAAAGTATTTCAGTCCAGCTTGAACAAAGTGGTTGATGCTAAAAAAAACATAATCTGTATCGTAGATTTGTATGCTTTGAGTCATAAAGTATTTTTTTATGAGGAAACTGTTTATTCTGCTACTTATAAAAACATATATACATATTTTTGCCAACTCTCCCTCCTGTCTTGGCTAACATTGTGTTATTCTTAATTGTTGTCTCACGGAAAATAAAACTCCAGCAAAATGTCATTTCTGCAAGTACCTACCATAGTGCCTTTGAGCAAGGAACTCAGCGCCTTCCTGCTCCAGCAGCACCGCGCTGCTGCCTGATCTTGCACCTAAGCCACAAGGCGAAAAGACAATTTGCTGATTTGTGAGATACTACCAGATGTTATATTCCAGGCGGTGAGGCTCTTTGCTTCCGTCTTTACAAATATTCTCACCTCTTCACAGCGAGTGCAAACGTCTGCAACGTGGTGCTCATGAGACACTCGGAGCTTTCAGAAGGCATCAGCGTGCTCGACGACAACGGCAGAGTGGTGGGGACTTCCAAAGTGGCTGCCAGGCATGTACGTAACCCTGCAAATGTGGTAGCTGATGTAAATTTACCATATTGTTTAGGTGTAATGGATCATTAATGGGGTTGTTTTCTGGCTTGACATGGGAGTGACGATGAACAGCGTTTAGTGTTCGTTAAAGGCAATGAATCGGTTACCTTTTTGAAAGAAATTCTGCATTTTTCTCTCATTTCCTTACCATTTGATGCACAAAAATGTCTTGTGTTTGAGTAAATGAAACTCCAACCAACAAAACTGGTTTAAAAAATTGCTTTTTTTAAATTCTTGATTGTCTCATCTCTTCCTCTGTGCAAACAAAACTCTGCAATTAACACTGTGATGTTTGTACATGCAACATAGTGGATTAAGTTGACACATCAGTCTTTAGACATCATTGAAATAATTGAGTGTTTTTGCCACATGGAGGCAAGGAAAATGTTTTTCTTTTTTTAACATTTTCTGATTTATTTGACAGGCACTTATGGAGACGGCCCTGACGAGAGTGGTCATGCCGATGCCAATCCTGGTGCTTCCTCCCTTGATCATGGCTGCACTGGAAAAGTAAGAAACTCTTCATTTTTTGCTCAGAAACAGCATTTACTGTATATGAGTCATCCAGTAACAGAAACAAAGCTGAAAACTGTAGAAATGCTGTATTTTAGATGTTTGGTTCTCTTGATGTTGTGTCACCTTTTATGAAAGTGTGCTCGAGTAACTTCTTAGAAAAGGAAAAGATGACGTCTCTTATTTTTTCAGCAGGGCAACAGTCTTCTTTCTCGCTCTTGAAAAAAAAAAAAATCCGCTCGAGTTTCTGCTGATGGAGTTTCTGTAGGTGGCACTCTTTCTTTGTCACGCTGCTCAAGTCAGCCTTCTCTTCTGTCTGTTTCTGATGCTGCTGGACACGTTCAATGCATCACTTGAAAACTTCAAGTGGAGTTTTTTTTGTGTAGGAAGAGAAACCAAACAAGCAGTGTTCATTCACTCACTCACTCACTCACTCATCGTTGTTTGTATTGTTAACTGTTAGTGAGATGGCAGTCATAATAGGGGTGAAGGTTTATGGTGTAATTAAAAGAAACTGCAGCTGTCTCCTAATTATATGATAATGAATTTTAAAACTGCCCCAAATCTTCTGAGTATTTCAGATGTTCAGAGTCACTGGTGATGAGCGCTGTTTAATCAGCCCACACGCTCCGATGAACCCTCTCCACCGCTCACATTGTGTGTTGTGTGATACGATTGTAACGATGTCCTAATGATGCAACGTGTTTATGCGGACGTCCTTGTGATCAACGGCGTGACTGCGCCTGCGGTGCGCCGAGGAATGCGGCCGTCTCCGTAAACCCCTTGACAGCACTTGTCCCGACCGCTGCCCAGGTGTGTTTGGGATTCCTGGCGGCTGAATGACTGAGCGCGGAGGAAGAGGAGGGAGTGAGTGTGAGGGTTACACTGTGCAGATGACTGCGGTTGCAGGTGAGTAGTGCTCAGCTATCCTCCATGTCAGCTCGCCTTCACTGGCTCTCAATGGAGCGAGAACAAGGGGAGAGAGACGGGTCCCTGGGCGGCCCCTCGATGATGGATTACACTGCTGAGAGCAGATTTAAAGCCATGACAGCAGGTTCTGTCCTTGGTGTGCTTCAGTAGCTGTGAGAGCTTGCAGAGTGTAGTCTGGAGATTTATTTTGTTTTATTGTGTATCTTAAGTAGAGCTGCACAATGTATGGCTTTGGCATTGGAAGTAAGACAAATGAACTCAAACACGTCATGCAACAACTGGTTTTACTGCTTTATACAAAAGGAAAACTCACATGGTTCTCATCTTGCATGATTAATAGACAGGAGAAATCTCAACTACTTAAATGTAAGGGTTGGAACAGAATAGATTTTCTTTATTGTCATTGTCATAATAAATAAACACAACATGCATAGTTGGTTCGTAGGTACTCAGGTCTAGACAGCTACTGTGAGTGTTGGACAGCTCTCTTGTGGCTCTGGGGTAGAAGCTGTTCGTCAGTCCGTTTGTCAGTGATTTGATGGACCTGAAGCGTCTACCGCAGGGTTCTTGGATACACTGAGTTTCTTTCTAACTGTATGGAAAAGACACAATCATGCTCCACATGTGCACAGCAAAATTAGCATGAAACAGGAAGATTTGGTTGCACAATAAAAAAAGTGTATGGAAGTATTTAGGCGACAGAAAGGATGATGTTGATCAAACGCTGCTACTCTGTCAGCAGTGATTTAAAATTATTGCCACCACATGAGGCAACACAGCTGACTTGTCTGACAATTTAAATCTTCAACACAAAGCTTTGTGTGAAGCTGTTTTCTCTGTGTATACTGTACAGCAGGTTTCACAAGACTAGAAAATAGCTCAACAAAGCGGTTAAACAAAAGGCACCATGTTTGATTGTATCTTCACCTCCAAAACCTTTATTTGCATGTAAACACAGGCGTGTGTGTTTTGTGGTCAGAAGAATTATTGGAACAAGAAGAGCTGCAGCCACTACTACAAGTAAATCATGATGGTGTTTTTTCTATTATCAATCAGTGGCATAAAACAATTCAGGAGGTTCATGAGACACAAGTTCATGTCAACAACTGAACCTGAGTAAGACCTCGTCCAGATGATGGCCACTAGCCAGATTAGTCAGAGCATCTGATTGAAGCCAGAGCTGCACTAAAAAGAATTTGGATAATGTCAAATATTCCACCTGATTCAGAGGCTTTTAAAATCCCCAAACCTACATTCCCTCGTCGCTCGCATCTCACACACCTCGCAACTTTTTCTCCCATTGACGTTCCTCTTTGTGATGCTGCTCTCTGAGATCTGCACGTTTGTGTGTGTGTGTGTCGCCTAATTAAACCATGGCAGCCATATGTGTTAATGAGCTCCCTCATTAGGCATTAGCTCTCCTCGTTAGGGGGAGAGGCGTCGCTGGTGGAGGAGAGGCAGAGCGGCTCTTTCTCAAGCTTCCTGCTGAGTTCGCTGTCCCACACGCTGAAGAGGGGATTATCCTGCGGAGGGCAGCGAGACCAGGAAAATATATTTCTGGAGACGGATCAATGAGATGTCCTTTTAAGAAGTTTGGTTTATTTGGAGAAAGTACAGCTTCTGGTGTTGATGGCTGTGTGTTTTTGGAAACTGTTACAAGACATTTATGAGGGATTATACACTTAAGAGTTGTTTAATTAAACAAGCCAAAATCTCCAGCAAGGACAATGAAAGCAGCGATTAAACTGTAGAAGGAATTTGAATGAATCTGAATGGGTTTTAAATTTGTACAAAAACCTGTTGAACAGTGAAAGCACTTCATATGTAGTTCTTTTTTAATTAGAGTTTGGTATTAATAAGGCACTTTATTAAAAGTCTGTAGCTAAATATGATTGATGAAAGTGAGTCTGCAAGTGAAAAGTCTTAAAACCTTTGACCTTTTCACCCACTTATGAGGGATTGATCAATTATTGGCCAGGCCTATAATCAAGTTTTTATCATTTTTCCATTATCACTATCCTTATTTATTTATTTTCTGTTTTTGTCACTTTCCGATCAACACCAAAGGATAAATGTTGAAAGGTTCTCTTTTAATTCAACTTATGTAAAGCACAAATAAATAAAGGCATTTCAACAAAGTTTTGTGTTCGAGTTTGTTTTATTTTAATTTTGACACCATTTTTTTTCCATTTTTACTGCAAATGTACATCAGTTCCTCAGTCATCGATGTTCTTGATCAGTAATAATCGGAATCAGCCCTGAAATAAACTGTACCGATCGACCCTACGACTGATCCACATGAATGTTTGTACTGTGTTTCTGTCCAGTTAAGACATTAATGCTTGTGTATGCTGACATGTCTGATATCATGTTTTCTTTTTTAATCTCTACAAAGCGTCGCCCTGCAGAGAGACGCTTAAATAATTTCTTAATGTTGTTTTTGTGAATGTGTGGTTTTACTTTGTTGTATTTTGGCTAAAATGAAGGTCATCCTTTGAATGCATTTCCAGGTATTTCTCATCTCAACTGGATTGAATTCTGATGTTAAAAAACTTTCTGCAACGTTTTTCTGCCTCAGTGATTGATGGAGGAAATTAGAATCCCCTTAATGTTCATGTGTTGACTGTACTGAACTGTGCTGTGTGTAAAAGTCTCACTGTGCTGTAAGTTTGTGGAACATGCATCACCTAATGAACACCTACTCTAACTTAATTTACTGTAATGGTAGAGAACTGACTGTTTTTTGTTCTCTTGTGTCCCACCAGACTTCCTCTCCTGCAGAGACAGCGGAGGCTCGTCCTGCCGGTCCACAGCCTGGTGTGTCTCGCTGCCTTCAGCCTGGCTCTGCCGCTCGCCATCAGCCTCTTCCCACAGATGTCGCAGGTACTTCATCACAAAAACATTCTCCCAGTTTACTGCTGTTGCCTCAAGACAAGAAGGTTCTGGGTTTTGTGAGTTTTTTTTCCAAATGCACCAACTTCCTCCCACAGTCCACAAACATGCATGTAGGTTAATGGGTGAATCTAAATTGGCAGTCGTGGTGAGCGTAAGCGTGCATAGTTGTCTGTCTTTTTGCGTTACCCATTCCTGGTTGTGTCCCACATCTCTCCCAGTATCAGCAGGGATAGACTCCAGCCTCCTTGTTAAAGTCCATGATGGACTGATAGTGATGCATTGATAGATTAAACTGGGACTTTAAAAACTTCTTTGTGTATTTTGCTCATACAGTAGCAGGCCCACTCCATCTTAAATCAGAACTTTTTTTAGAATAATTTCTGCATGACCATCTCAGATTTGCCTGAAATGTTGTTGTTTTTTTTGTTTTGTTTTTTTTAATCAAACTATGGATGTGTATACAGATATTTGGTAAATTTTACCTTGATATATCATGCACTTTCCTAGATGTATACTTTTTAAAAACTGTCGACCAACCTCAACAAGTCAACATGTTTTTTGGGCATTCAATTTTCAATCTATGTTTAAAAAACAATATCTCAGGAACTTTTAAAGATCAAAGCCTAAATTCTTCACTGTTGTTCTGCATCACTGATTCAGAATCTATAATTATCCAAATATTGGGCAAGTAGATGAAGTAATCTGTGGTTATGAGTGAGCTGACATGGAACAAAAAGTAGAGCTGCTCTTAAAAGTTGCATTTTTGAGCACATGTTAACAAAATGAAGAGTTTATTTGCAAAAGCAGGAAACTCCATCTTCACAAACCTTCAGAAAACCCATTTTCCTATCATCTACCTGAGACAACATCAATCAAACTTATCTCTATTTTTGTCATTTCTGCTGAGTCAGATCCACTCAACTTCAGTTTGATTGATATTATCTCAAGCAAACAACAAAAAAACAAGTTTTCTGATAATCTACAAAAGTGGAGTTATCTGATTTTGCAAATGAGCTCTTCAAATTATATATACATGTATTTTAGAAAGTATTTGATATGTCAGGCTTAAGCTACTATTTTAAATATCTGTACTTTATGATGATTAAGTTTCAAACAAATCAGAGTTGGTCAAGCTGATACGAGATAGGATTTTCTACTTTTCTAGTATTTTTGTGTTGTTGAAGTTTGAGTTTCTGTGGCGGCACTTTTATTCTTCTTTCGTTGTTCTTTCTGCCGGTGTTCATGCTAAGTTCTGACATTTTCTTGATTGCAAACAAACACACTGTTGGTATTTTTTCTTCAAATGAGCTGCCAGATACCAAAACGCTGTTTGTTAGCAGAATAGAAGTGGTAAAGAGTGATTTAACCAATCCAATGCTCGTCATTGTCATAACTTATAGTGGTACAAAGTGTGTTATCTTTTTGTTTTCCTTCTTTAAGCCCTGTCCGTACTGAAATGTCTGCTCAGCTCAGGTCTGCCAGAGCTCAGTTTCAGTGACTGATGTTGGTGACCGAAGTCTCCTGACCTCCTCAGTGTTTCCCATTGAGCTGTGCAGAAGCTCTCTCCTAATGAGGCGTAGCCCTCTGAGACTTAACCTGCTCTGTTGTGATCCGCCTCCGTTGCTTTTATTCGCCGCCGCCACCATCCAGGCTAGCAGGCTGAGATCTAACTTTAGCCTCGTAGCCTTCCTATCTGTCATGCTCATTAAACGACTGTGGTGTGATTTTGTTTTACACTCTCTCTCTCTCTCTCTCTTTGTCTCCTCTCTGCCAAATGACTTGCTGACACAAGCCAAGCAGCTCTGGCTTTAAAATATTTAGGATTTAATTACCACTGGAAATAGCTCAGACAGCCATATGGCAAAAAACTTCAGACATATGTGCCGCCAACAGTCCTGTGAAAAGCTGCCTCCCAGTTCCAAGGAGGGGCCTGTTTTTCTCTCACAAGTCCCTTTTTTGCACTTTCGCAAGGATAGCAGATGAAAAAGAGAAGAAGAAGAAAAAAAAAAAAAAGATCTCCCCAAAAAGCAACACGAATGCCCCGCTCCCCTGGACCCCCCGCCTACTCAATTTGTCCTACTTCCCCATTTCACACCTACCGAGATGTCTGATTAGGATTCTGCCTCCAACTCCAGCAGCCATCTGTCTCTGGTTCAAATATTAGGAGATGCGAACCTCAAATTAGACTTTAATCTGCCAAATTGGCTCTTTTTGCACATTAGCGGTAAATACAGAACATTTACAGGCTTTAAGAATTATTTAGTTACACACAAAGGCGTTTCAGATCTTTAAGCGGCGGTCCATGTAGCTGCATGTACGGCATACACACAGGATATGTACACTCGTTATATCTGACAGCTCATGGCAAATATTTGACCTATTGACCTTTTCTCTTTTTTGGCTTCCCACAGATCAGCGTGAATCAGCTGGAGCCGGAGATCGCCATGGCAACAGATTGTAAGATCGTGACGTACAATAAAGGGCTGTGAGAGATCCCGACCTGGAGATCAAACCCGCTGCTCATCGCGATTCAGAGCCGCCGGATGAAGGATGGATTGTGGTAAAATTTGGCTGCGGCAGTCAGTGAGGACTGAACATACGTTTACATTCATAAGAAAAAAAAACAGTGATCAACATATACATCACAACACTTCTCAAGGTGTTATCACTGCTACAGCATGAACAAATACGACAGAGATGATGCCAGAAATACTCAGCAGGAAGACGCTTAGATCTACAAACTTAGATTCTTCTCTTCCTCCCTCTTTCACATCAACATGCAGTAACTTAAAATTGATTTAAACCAAAATGGGTGGATTTAAATACAAGGAGGACGTTCACTTTATGATCATCGTTGTCTTGATTGTATGCGTGAAATACTGTGAATGAAATCAAAGTACAATTTTTTGTTGTTGTTATTGTTTAGAGTTAAGTGCAAGAGATTCCAACTCTTTAAGCTTTTGAGCCCTTATTGTGAAAATCCTCGCAACCTAAATTCATAGGTTGCACTTTTATGATCTGTGAGCAGTTCAATCAAAGAAGGTTTTAGATTTTTTAGAGGGATTAAACAACAATGTCGCTTTAGACAGAAGCAAAGAGGAGAAGAAATCAGACATGTTGTAGCTGATTGTACTTGTTCTGTGTATAAAACACTGTGAATGAAATCAACATTTTTTTTTTTCTTAATGTTTATACTTAAATGTAAGGGCTTCCAAAACTTTTTACTTTGAGCCCTCATTATGAAACTGCATCTCTTTACAAGTCCATAAGTTTAAGATCTGTGAGCAGTTCAGTCAAAGAATGATTTAGTTTTTTTGGAGGTCAAATATGATTTAAAAAATTAACAGTATTGCTTTAGACAGAAGCAAAGATGAGAAGAAATCAGACATTTTGTGCATCAGTATTATAGTTTTTCTTATTTACTTGTTGAGATCCTGAGTTCCTACCAGAAGACCCTCAGATGAAGGGAAGCTTAGAAGTCCAGTAGGTTCTACTGCAGCTCTTAGAACGAACTGAATTAATTCACCCTAAATAGAAAAGCCAGTTTGCTTAAATATGTACTTGTGCAAATGATCAGAAGACAGCCAGTGATTTAAGCACTGCTTGGCTGTCTGTTGTAGAGTTAAAGAGCTTCTGAATCAACACTTGTTCCCTTAAATAAAACAAATCCTCCTGAAGTTTCTCTCTGTAGTATGAAATTGTCTGGTCTTAATTTTACTGTCAGGTGTCCTCAGGTGACTTCTGCTGTGAGCTAAAGTGAATTTTAAAGCCCTGCATTATGAAGTCATTTCATATCCCATCATTTTCTTTGACTCTCTAACTGCAATAAAAGTCCCAATATAGAGAAAGAATTGCGCAAAAAACATGATTTTCATTGTCTAATATTTTTGTGATCAAGCAAAAATTATGTAAATGCACAAAATTAAAGATTTTTTTTGTAACTAAATGTCACCTTGAAGTATTTTTGTTGACACGATCGCTCCTGTTTATTGCGAGTACTTTGTAAATTCTGCCACTGCTGCCTTTGTATCGTCTGCTTGATTTATATAAACGCTCTGCCTCACGGCGCTATCTTTTGTCTCGATCTGTGTGATTAGTGGGTGTTTGCGCGGTTGCCGAGGGAACGCGGGCACAAGTAGGGCTGCGATGCGGCGCAATCCGACAAGACGCCGCATGCAGGATGAGCGGAGGATGCTGGGTATGAGATGTGGCGCGCAAGCAGGGTGAGACAAATCAAATACACAACACACAGACACTAAATGCACCCGGGTCAGCTTTATCTGCTCACATCAGATATTAGCAGCACATCCGCTTCTTCTGCTTGGAGACCTGAAATGATGGTACATTGCATCAACTTCAATATTAATCCACAGTGAGTTTGATTTTTTTTTTTACAAATAAATAGCAGCAATTTTAAGATGATTTTAGCTCATTTGTCTGTTATTTCTAATGGGGTTTCTAAATGCTAAATCGCTTCACATTTTAGGTAAATAAATGTTGTTGCATTTGAGCTGTCAGCATGCAGGTGAAGTTTAAGAAGTGTGTGTTAATTTGAGTAGCAGTGCATATTGAGCAGATTGGTTTAAGGTGTGATTTGTAATTCAGCCTGTTTACTGCGCTGCATGATTTATCACCCAACAGGGAGTTTTTGCAGCCAACATGTCATTTGTGCTGCGACAATGGAGGCTTTGAGCCGCCTAGTAATCCAGTAATAATCATGATTAAAGCGGTAGTTCTCTGACACCTCTGCAGCAGCGGCGGGGATCCGTCGGCTCCTTCCCCTCCCTCCTGGCAGCTCCTCCGCAGAGACTCGTGTGTTTTTCACGATGGATTCCTGCTCCGGACTGTCTGCTGACTCAGGCGACAGGAGACGCAGCGTTCAGGGAGACACCAGTGTGAGTTTCTCTCCTTTTTAATTGTTTTCCTAACAGACGGGCCTGAGAGCTCTGATTAATGACCTTTTGACCTCGATCGAGCAGCTCATGGGGAGCTTGGAGAGCTGCTTCACATGTGATGCTGTTTATTTGGACAACCAGGAAACGCTGAACCCCCTTTTTTTTACCGCCTGTTTGCACCTGCAGTGAGTATAGGATGTCCTGGGAACTCAAAACAAGACACGCGGCCCCTCCCTCCCTCCTCTGCACCTCCAGATGTACCTTTTGTATAAAGGTGAGGCTATTGCGGCGTATTTGACTCCCACATCTCCCCTCTTACAAAACAAGACATGGGGGTCAGACGTCAGGGCTTCACCTCTGGAGCCTCGGGGTCATTACGCACAGATTCCTTCCGTTTCTTTTCACAGGTGATTACTGAGGCGGGCGCTGAAAGGGCCGCCGCACAACTACTTTCCCTCTTTTTTTTTTTTTTCTTTCAGAGGTTGCACCTTCTGGTTGGGAATTATTTCTGTGTTCCCTCTCTGCTGGAATTCGGAGGAAATGCCGGCCGACAGGTAGCACACCTGACACCTGTGCAGCTGTCCTGCAGCATTCCTGACACATCAGTCTTCAGCAACAGCTCCCAACCCAAGAAGAACCTCCTGAGGTGCTGTGAGATGTCCTGAGCTGTCATGTGTCATAGTTATACTGTTAAAATACTCACATAAGCTAATAATGCAAACTCCTCCTCCTCCTCCTCCGTGCATCTGCAGGCCTCTCCTCCCTATCAAACACCTATTTGCACCTCCAGCTTCAGGAAGTCTGGAGTGAAACCTGCAGCTCAATCACACAGAAAGTAACATGTTTTTCCCCGCTTTTATTTCTAAAACATCTTCTTGTACTTACATGTTCTGCTCGAAAAGTATATACGTTTTATACTACACACAATGAAATCTGCAAGTGGAGATGTCACCCGTCAAGATCCACGCGTGACAAATGCGGAACAAAAGCTGCGTTCTCGGCTCAACTCGGCCCCAACGCCAGGGGTCTCTGCAGCGTCTCGTCCTGTCCCAGATGTCGCGCACAGCTGGACGCGAATCGCCTCTTTTTTTAAATCTTCATTAGGAAGTGGAACAAAGTGCTGGGATGGATGGATGGGCTCTGGAGCCACAAAAAGCAGGAATAAAATATTCTTCATCTCCTGCCTTCTTCTTCTGGCTCGGGTGGATTTAAAAAAAAAAAAAAAAACCAAGGTGTGCGTCGACACGTTTCTTGAGGAGAAATTTCAAATGAAACCTGGAGCACAGGTGGCGCGGTGAGGTGTTAATGACCTAAGCATGTGATTAAATAAAAAAACAAACAGCTTTAATGAAACAAATAGCCTGTTTCAGAAACAACCTTTATCACTGGCCTGTATGTACAATGTTAAACTGATAGAGGTCGTTTCTCTTTGAATGATCCCTTCATCCACACACCTTCAGGATGGATGCCATTAAATAAGATGGTTTATTTATTTCCGGTTGTGAGGAGACGTGTGGCGATCAGAAGTCCTTGAGCCTTCCTCTAATGTGTCTAATTATACTTAATAATATTACATAATAAATAGTATTGGTCCTCTGATGCGTCGGAAGGTCGACGCAGGGTTCAGGGCAGCATTGTCGGAGGTCGGACGGCGTTTTTTTTTCTTTTTTTTTCTCTTTTTTTAAATTTTATTTTAGTCCTCTGAGGTCACGTCAATGTCCTCGGAGCTGGCCTGCTTGGTGGCGATGCGCCATCTGTTGATGTGGTGGTTTCCCTTCTTCTTCTGCTGGCTCTCTGGTCCCTCCTCCTCCAGCTTCTGCCGCTTGTACTTGGTCCTCCTGTTCTGGAACCACACCTTCACCTGCAGGAGAAAAAAACACAACAAGACACAAAAAACATTTAGCACATGACCTCAGAGTAAAAGCACAAGCAGGAGGATGTGTGGACTCGTCAAACACAGGTTAACAGAAACCAGCAGTAATGAATGGTAACGATGCAGCAGCTGTGATTTAGAGCTGAAGTGGCTTTAATGCTCCACTACACTGTAAATATATATGTATGAGAGTCTGGAAGCAAAGGGCCCACAAAAATATGTTTAAAGAGGATGGAAAGCATTTAAAAACTGTGGAAATATCTGTAAAATGTTGATATTTTTTAGCTGATTTATATACAGGGTGATTTTATGGTCACATTTTTTTTAATGTGGAAATAATTTCTTTTTAAAATCAAAATTTAATAATAATATTTCTCATTTCTGTATATAATATAATAATCTATCATTTCTAATAATGAAATTCAATATTTTCCTTGTATTGATTTTACTGGATATTATGTGTAACTTAACAAAACAAGGAAAACCTGTAAAATAACAGTTTGGAAAAATTATTATTATCATTTTTCAGCCCTTAATATGTTTTAATTCTTTAACATAATGAAAAATATCCGTTAACAACTTACTTTTTTTTCTTTTGATTGCACAGTGTGGCTATTAAAATATACTTTTTAATTAAGTTAGCAGTGGTATTTACTTGTGGGAAAGATTTTCCATCGTTCAGTCCTTGATATATGTAATTTTTCTGTCAAATAATTGCAAAAATCTGTGAAATAATACTATTTTTTCTGATTTCAGTGTAGTAAAAATTATTTTACGTTCAAATGTTGTAGAAGAACAAATTGCGACTTGTAAAAACCCAGATTTCTTCCAGCTGTAGCCTTTTTTGTTTTTAGGGTTAACGTGTAAATAAATATCCCTTTTCTCTGTGATTTAACAAAACAAGTAAAAATCTGTAAGAAAGCCAAAACAAAACCCTAAGCTGCATTTAAAAACTATTAAAAATGTTATTTATATGGCACCAGTTTACAACACATGTCATCTTATAGCTCATATTCAGGTGAAGTCCTTATTCAGTGAGTTCTTAATCCACGTCTGGGAAACTGAGCCATTGTCAGATAATTCGTCAATCTGAAAATTAATCACCATCTATTTTCATAATCATATTCTAATCATGTCACAAGCACAACTTCCAAACACGGTGTCATTGCAGCTCCTTGGGTGTGAACATTTGCTCCTTTCTCTCCTTTTCTTTTCTTTTTTTTATATCACTGTTAATTATGTTTAGACTTTCATCCAACTCCTTGGACTTTAATAAACTACATTTCTGACATTTATAGGCTCAATTAACTGTACGAATAATCAGAAGTGTGAATGTGGGAATCATCACCACCTGCAGCCTGCAGTCTTCACCACAGTGTGTATTCTGTTGAACACATGTAAAACTAATAATACCTGCCTTTGCTCTGTATCTGCAAACAGAATCTCCTCTTGAAGTTTGGCATTAATGCCTGGGAGCCATCAGGAGGCTTCCTGACTCACTCACTGACCTTGGAACATGAGCCTCGCCTGACTAACCTATATGTGGACAACATGCATTTTTTAAATAGCAGCGCTCGCCCTCACATTAGTTTCCTTCTTGACTTTCTGATTCTGCATCGTACAAAAACAAAACCCCAAACTCTCTTAAAGATTGGATGGCAGCATGGCTTTGTTCATTTATCTACAGCAGAGGGTGAAAGAAAAAGGCGAGTGGGCTCATTTCCAGCCACAGGAAAGGTGTAGAAGTGTTAATGCAGCCTTTTACTTTGACCTTTTCCTTCACGGTTTGATCTCCAGCTCACCTGCTGAGGAGGATCTTTTTAAATAACGCCGCTGTTTCTGCAGGAATCGATAACTCTTCGCAAAACCGCCCGTTTAACTTGTCATTGCTGATAAACTTTACCCTCATTAACATTCACTGCCTTTACAATTTGCATAATTCAATTGTGAGCAAACTCAAACTTGCAAGCAGCATTTCTTCATATCACTGACTCAGGACATGTGTCTTTATATCACCCATTAGGCCTAATTGACACCACAGTGATGTGGACTCATTAAACTTAAGCATCAATAATATTTACTCGTCTTTATTGGGGAGCTCGTGTGAATTTAACACCTCTGAGAGTCATTATTAATATTTAATGCATACATTCACACCGGTAATTTAGAATTGACATTGCAGGCAATATAAATGTAAATAACTAACCTACAATAATTTAAACCGAATTTCTAAACATGCAGCAAAAAATAAAAAGAATATTTGCAGTCTGTTATTGTTCTTGATTTAATGCAGGTTAATATTATGTTGTTGTTGTATTTATTAGCATTGCTGTAGCCTCTTAATTTAGGAGCCCAGATCTCTGCATTATAATTATTATTAAATCATTAATATCTACAACTTCCCTGTGATTTCTGAATTTAATCTAATTGATGAATATGGTAACTGGTGTTATTCTAATTACTGGCATCTCTGTTGTTGTTTATCTCTGTATTTAGGACCTGAAACTCTGAATTATTATGATTGTTATATGACTAAAACCAACAAATCTCCACCACTAGCCTTTAAATTCTTGATTTAATGTAGTTTATTATTATGTTTTTTGTTATTATTCTAATTACTGGCATCGCTGTTGTTGTTTATCTCTTTATTAAGGAGCCACAAACTCTGCTTTATTATTGTTAAATCACTAAAACCAGCTAATCTACACCACTAACCTTTGATTTAATATAGTTTATGAGTGTGGTAATTGTGATTATTGGCATTGCTGTTGTTTATCTCTGTGTTAACACCATAAACTCAGCATTATTATTATTATTATCAAATCGTTCAAAGCAGCACATCTCCACCACTTGCCTCTGAGTTCTTGATTTAATACAGTTTATGATCATGTTTTTTGTTATTATTCTAATTACTGGCATCGCTGTTGTTGTTTATCTTTGTATTAAGGAGCCACAAACTCTGTTTTATTATGATTATGATGATAAAATCTCCTCCACTCGCCTGTGTTTCAGATAGACTCAGACTGTTGGCCAGCTGCTTCCTCTCGGCTCCGACCACATAGTGGTTCTTCTCGAAGGCTCTTTCCAGGCGGAGCAGCTGCGACGGAGAGAAGGCCGTCCGGATGCGTTTGGGTTTCCTGGCGAAGGGGCCGTGGAGCAGCAGGCTGTCCTGGGACACGTCGTTACCTGAACGCACCGCAACGACAAGGTAGCATTAATACCGCAGGTTACAAGGAAGAAAAACCACAAGAGGTTCTTATTATAATTATTATTGCAATAAAATAAATTAAAACAAATATGAAGGCTGCGTAAAACTACCCCCAAACACTGTTTTCTACTGGAATTTAATCTGCTTTTTGCAGAAGCATGATTTTAATTGTAATTTGTATTATTATTATCATCATTATTTCACCAGGGCGTTTTGGAGATGAAAACTGTGCACACGCTTGAATCAATACCCAGCTAATAATTAATTCTAAGAATAATGGATGAAAGTTGACATTTAAACTAATTTAAATTTGACAAATAATTAACTGAACGGCACATGCGCGAAAAAAAATGGTTCTCCACAAAATGGACATTTCCAGTTAAATAAATATGACACATTCTCTATATTATACTGTATTATAATAGTCGGGTTAAAGAGCAGATCGTTGCTACATGAATGCACCTGAGAGTTAAGAGAATTAGGCGGAAAGTTTCGGTGTTGCGTGCGTTTTGTGCACCACATCATCATCATCATCATTATTATTAATTTTTATTACTATAAAAATATATATTAAAAAAGTATTTTTAGTTTTGCAAAACTTGGTTAAAAAATGTAGGAGATGATACTGAAAACAAATGTGGAAATTAAAAAATTAAATAACTTTTTTTTGTATAAATATTTGAGGAAGCAGTTGCACATGCGCACACTGCGTTGTGAATTTTACCACTATAATGTTGGAATAGAACAAAATTATTTTCTTTCTCTATTTGTTTCTTATATTTTAATTATGTGCTAATTATTAAATCATTTTGTTTTGTCCTCTTGCACGCCACAACAAAATCCACAATAGCTTCATGTGGGGTGTTAATGAATCAGCTTATTGTAATTAAAATGAACATTTTAGGGCAATTTACTAATTTGCGTCATTCTGTCTTTATAATAAATTACATTTTCTGTGCAGATTTTTTATTTTTTATTTTTTTATGTAATAAAAACGGCCTGAACATGGATCTATGTTCCAGGTTTAGAGGTGTGTTTGTTGGAGCTGAGGTTTGTCAGGTGAATAAATCACTGCAGGCTGTGTTCAGTCCTCTGCTGCTGCGCTATCTGCCTTTGATTTTACTCTGGTTTCTCTTATTATCGTTGATTTTATCTGTTTTATTTCCGTGCAAGATTTTGTTTTTAATTAAATGAAAATACACAGCCTCACCTAGGGCCAGTTTGACTGTGTGGAGGGAGAAAAAAATCTACATCAGTGCTTATCTTCTCCTGCTGAGGTTTTTTTTTTCCTCCCTGAGAGTAGCTGCAGGGCGAATGAGAGTGGAAATGTGAGAGCAGCCCGGCAGCCTGCTGGAAACAATCTAGTAGTTTATTCTGTCTGTGCTTCCAGTTTATCGTTCAAGTAGGAAATTTGGTCAGATCATGTTTAAAAGTCAGTATCTGTCAAAAGCAAAGACTGAGCCACTTGTGTGCAAATGCGTAATTTTCTGTGCACTAAACCGTTTAATTTACTTGAATTTCCTGCTGAGCATCCAGAATAATGTGGACTAATAGTGCGCATCCGTATTTCGCATCTTTACGCACCTTGGAATCTGTGTCCAAAAAACCTGTTCCGTAACACCCAGGGGTAGAAGTTGAGCGGGTCTCTGTGCTGCGTCCCGAAGAAGTGCGGATGCTGTAGGTGGGAGCCTCCGAGCTGGTGAGGAGCCACGGTGAGGGACGGGTGGTTCACCGTCTCCGGGAACACCAGCTCCGGGCTCTGGTAGAGGGAGCGGGCCGGGGGAGCCTGGTAGCTGTTCATTAAGGCATCTGTCGTCGGGTTGGAGTAGCTCAAAGCCGTCGGGCGGATGGGCTCCTCGGCCGTTAGCGGGTTCTCTTTGGCCACCAGAGACTCTATCGTGAAGCAGCGCTTGCCCGCAGACGAAAACATCATCTCTTGATAGAACCACAAACTCCCCCCCAAAAAATCAAGTCTTGTGCGTGTTTTGTCGCTGGAAAAGCTCCTCTCAGAGATGCATCGCGGCCAAACGACGGCGGAGGGCGGGGGGTAGGTTTGCCTACAACGAGCTGAAGATGCTGCTACAAAACTCAACAGCGCCTGCAAATTGCCCTGATACTGTGCGCACTCGGAGGGTTTCTGTGCACAAGTGCGAACCGAGCCAAACCCCCCCTTCAGTCTTTTTCCGCTGCGCACCGAGAGCGCTGATTGGAGCACAACCTGCCAATAGGTTCTCCTCAAGTACCTGCTTCACAGATCACACATAGAGCGAGGCGGCTTAGTTACAGAGGCACGCTGAGAAAACATGTGTGCTCCAATTAATGGCTCATTGTGTGTCGCGTTCAGCCTTAATATCTCGTTTTTCTTTGGGGAAAAAAGCAGGCTGCCGGCAGGGGTGAGAAAGTTGTCGGTAGATTCAGGCGGCTCAGGAATTCTCAGCGTCAATATTTGAAGCTCGAATGTCAAAAAAAAAAGTAAAGAAGGTGACTCGTGGAGGCTGTTTTTGTGACATTTAGGCTCCTTTCAACCTCATTATGCAGCCATAAAACGCTGCAAAGGACACCTGACACGAGCTTAATAAGTGCGAGGTACAGCTGTGCGTAAAGGTCAACTCATTCTCCGTTTTGATTCCAACTCATGTTTTCCAGTTACACTGCCCACATCTTCTGAGACATGTTAAACACACACATGTAATTCAGACTTATTTTAGAAATCTCTTGCTTCTGCTGAATCATATTTACATCTTGGTGAAACCTGCAGTCCAAACAGTGTCGCCTCTCAGTTTGAGCTGCACGGTTTTGATTTTAAATGTACTGTTTTGCATTTAAAGTATTTTATTTTACTTGTGCAATGTTACAGATTGGACTGAGCAGCTCTCATTGATTGGAAACATGTTTTTATCATTTAGAACTTTTACTTTTAAACACTGGATTATTGGGAGCTTATTGTTGCAATTATGAGTAGAAGTAGCGCCATTGTTATGCGTTTTTAGTAAAGAAAAGTAGGTTAAATAGCAAAGTGTAGGAGACCTTTTGCTGTTGGATTTCACCAACTTCAGCATGCATCGAAACATCCAACAGAATTAGTTTTTACCTCCACAAATGGAGCAAAAAACAAAAACAAAACACGAGTTCCACTAGACAGAACTTGATTTGTTTTCAAATAAATAATTCCAGCGTTTACGCACACATCATTTTGGAAATTGGAGTCAATAAAACTCGGGAATTATGAGGTTTTGAAGCACATGTCGTTCAGTTTGTCCTCCCTACGGTCGCTTTTATTGCAGCCCTGCAGGAGAAATCCTGTTTGAGCTGCACGGTCCCTCGGCGCTCCGCTTCCTTTGCGCGCTAACCGAGTTAATAATTAAGCTCCTAATGCGCTCGTTTGCGTGCAGGTTGCATTAGAAAATCATTACCGATGGAAATTATGAGCTAAAACAAGTTGTTGATTAGGCGTTTAGAGCTAAAGGCTCCTAAAGACGGCAGCGGGTTCTGTGGAAGAGTCGCTGTCCAAAAACCATTCTGCGTTTTTCATTTGTTTTCAACACAGCGCGCACAGACACACATGGACGTTTATGTTCTGGGGGATTCCTGAGTTCCTTCATCCTGAATAATAACTGTTGAACATGTGAATAATTTCAGTTATTTATTAAATGCTTAGCTGCTAAATTGAAAGGACTGCCGAGAAATAACTGCTGCTTGTGTTAAAATCGTCTCACTGGCTTTAGAATCATGTTTTATCATCAGGTCATAAATCAGTCGCTTCAAAATGAATGATTACAAGAAATATTAAAGACATCACAGGATGTCTGACACCTGCTGCCTCTGTGCGCAAAAACACTTGAGGACTCGCTCACATCAACCTGCTCGTGCCTCGACTGTGGCGCTATTTATACGACATCCCATAATATCACGCTGGACGCACGGATCTTAAAGGGCGGATTTTATATTTAAACCGTCCTTTTGCAGCAGCAGGAACTTGGCGGCTGAGCGAGCCGGTGGAGTTTAATGATGAAACCCTGCGGGCCTTTTTACGCGCTGACCCTGATCGCTGCTGGTTAATAGATGATCAAATCGCTCCGCTTCAACAAAAACAAAAGCCAAGCAGCCTCCTGCTTGTTCTAAACCTCCCGTGGGTTGTTTTTTGTTTTTTTGTAACTCCCAGAGTTTCTCAGAGTCAAAGTGATCTTCAGCTAAAGAGTAGTTTCTGTGGTAACTTTTATTTTTTAGAGGCTTTCAACTCTTGTGCAACTAGTGGAGAGCGATGCGTTAGTTAATGTGTATTGTCCAGTAAA